ATATCTATACACGATAAAAACATAGTCTCGTTTATACAATTTTGATTTAATCATGAATGAGCGTTGAGCAGCAGATCGGATTATAATAATTAATAATTTAGATAACATTTCAGGCCTAAAGCAAGACCTGCAATTGGCAGATTTAGCTCTTGCATAATATATGTTTAAAATTAAGAACTGCCAACAAAAGCATCTTCAAGGAAAATCCTTATTCCACTGTATTCAGTGGGTACAGTTTAACAGGTTAAAATCAACTCAGTTTGTTTAATAGATTAATCTATGTTCAGTGAATACTTGTTTAACAGGTTAAAATCAACTGTTTAATAGATTAATCTATGTTCAGTGAGTACTAGTTTAACAGGTTAAAATCAACTCAAGTCTAGTTAATCTATACCCAGTGAGTACTAGTAACAGTTAAAATAAACTCAGTCTAGTTAACAGATTAATCTGTATTCAGTTTACAAAATTTTGTGTTACGTACAGTTTTCAAAGGCCACGCTACGCCCATGTGGAGGATCTGGGTTTTATGAAAGACGGGGTATGTTACAGAGAATGATGCCTGTTGTGAGTGGGCGAAAGTTCAAGTACGATAGGGAATCTAGACTACAGCGCTATGTTGTGATGAAGGACGGTCCTGTCGTGTGGAGGAGGTGGTTGTTTTAGGGGGAGTTCATGCTTTATGGATGACAAACGTTATTTTATGAAGGACGTGGGTTGTTTTATGAATGACTGGGAACTTTGATGTGGGATACTTTAGGTGGCATGGTATTCAAATATGTTAACTTATATACCCAATTTCATTTGTTTATCCACAGAGTTGGACGACGAAATCATCGGTTCCAGTTTCTATCTAAACCCACAGAAAGGTGCTCTAAATCTAATCTACGTGATGTAATTTTCAAAATTTTGCAGGGGACGACCCTGAATCCCCCGTCGTTGCATGAAATACTGACACTGGTTAAGGGACGGGTTGACTGTCGCAGACCCTAATCGAACCCCCCCCCCCAGCTTAATTAAGTCGATCACCAGAAGCGTTGATTGTCTTGGCTCCCCGTCCCACGGAGTAGTCGATGGTGCAAATACGTACATTGAGCGTGATTGGTTTTTATTGGTGTCACGGGATCTGGTTGGAATAAGGGAAGTGCAACAGGAAAATGAATTGAAAGGGGTTTAACGCCCTACTGTTCTGCTCCGACTGGGCTAATAAAGACGGGAATACGGTGTGCTATGAGGGAAATTATGCCCGAATAACGGCGCTACGGCCTACTCTTATATCCAATTCCAAATGCCAAGGGATCTTTTACGTGCACCCCAATATGTACACGGGACCTCGGTTTTTCCTCCCATCAGAAAGACTAGACAGCTGTCCTTGTCAGGCCCTCCGTCATGCACCAATAACAAAGGGAAACCACGCCGGAAAATCCCGATGAACTTTCTTGGCCCACAGCAGGAGCGAACTCGCGGGCCAACGTCTTCACTAGGACAATGGGATTATTATGACGTTGACGCGGGCATTTCCATGAGTATTTGAGGTAACTCGAACTTCGAGGGTACTTTTTCAGAATGGAGGATACTATTTCAAAATGGAGGATACTATTTCAAAATGGAGGATACTATTTCAAATGAGTGGGTACTTTTTCGGAAGGGGAGGGCACAGAGCCACCCCATACCCTGGCTGGAGATCTCGGCGTTATCAAACATTCCCGGTTACTTTGGTTTCTTGCATTTATGAAGGCAGGGTAGGCATACCAACCCAGCACGCCTCTGTGTACGTCGTTTAACGGATAAACCAATTGATCACAATGTTATTTCTGCGAAATAGCTGGTTTCTAAATGGAAATGACGATGTTATAGTGGATGATACCAATGTATGTATTCTAGCACGTCGAAAAATGAACCTGATTTTATAAATAGGAAGAATTTTACTCAATATATGTTCATGGCATGTGTAACAGTGAGACGATCTTCATCAATATAGTCGACATGTGAGCACTCATGATGCAAGAATCCTCAAAGAAAGTGATATTGGTGTACAATTTGAACTAACGGAACATCATAGTATAATCCTTGGTGACAGTAGTTACCTACGTAATTCATGGCTTTTAGTGCCTTGTATACATGTATACATTAGTGATTTGGAATGCTTTAACTGGCTCTATCACATATGTAATACATTGGTGGATACCAACATTGTCCTTTAATGAAACATGTCTATACTTCATATTCGTCTAAAGGGGATCACGTGGCTAAGTGGGTAAGACGCTAGCTCGCTAGCCTGGAGGTCGGGTGTTCGATCCCTGCATTGGCCGAGAAAGTTCATCCAGATTTTCCGGCGTGGTTCTCACTTGTCAGTGATGCAGGACGGAGGGGCTGACAAGGAAAGCTGTCTAGTCGTTCGGATGGAACGAAAAACCGAGGTCCCGTGTACACATTGGCGTGCACGTAAAATATCCCTTGGAGTAGGCCGTAGTGCCGCTGTCCGGGCAAAATTTCCCTCATAGCACACTGGCGAAAGTTCATTTACGATAGGGGTTCTAGACTACAGGGCTATGTTGTGATGAAGGACGGTGCTGTTGTGTGGAGGAGGTGGTTGTTTTGGAGGGGGTTCATGCTTTATGGATGACAAACGTTATTTTATGAAGGACGTGGGTTGTTTTATGAATGACTGGGCACTTTGATGTGGGATACTTTAGGTTGAATGGTATTCAAATATGTTAAACTTATATACTGCAAACCCAATTTCACTTGTTTATCAACAGATTTGAACAACGAAATCATCGGTTCCAGTTTCTATCTAAACCCACAGGAAGGTGCTCTAAATCTCATCTACGTGATGTAATTTTCAAAATTTTGCAGAGAACGACCCTGAACCCCCCGTCGTTGCATGAAATAATGACACTGATTCAGGCAGACCCTAATCGAAAAAGAAATACCAGTCGCATTAAGTCGATCACCAGAAACGTTGACTGGCTCCCCGTCCCTCTGCTGATGAAAGCAAACCAGCAGCGAGGAGTAGTCGATGGTGCAAATACGTACATTGAGCGCGATTGGTTTTTATTGGTGTCACAGGATCTGGTTGGAATAAGGAAAGTGCAACAGGAAAATGAATTGAAAGGAAAGGGGGTTTAACGCCCTACTGTTCTGCTCCGACTGGGCTAATGGAGACGGGCGTACGGTGTGCTATGGGGGAAATTATGCCCAGACAACGGCGCTACGGTCTACTCCTATATCGAATTCCAAATGCCACCCCAATATATACACGGGTTTTCCTACCATCCGAAAGAAGGGGAAACCACGCCGGAAAATCCCGATGAACTTTCTCGGCCAACATCAGGAGCGAACCCGCGACCTCCAGGCTAGCGAGCCAACGTCTTAAATACGACAACGGAATTATTGACATTGACGCGGGCATTTCCATGAGTATTTAACTCGATTTCGAGGGTACTTTTTTCAGAATGGAGGGTACTTTTTCAGAATGGAGGATACTATTTCAGAATGGAAGATACTATTTCAGAAGAAAGGACACTATTTCAAATGAGTGGGTACTTTTTCGGAAGGAACTGCCAGCTCTTTATCTAATCTCTCATAAAGTATCTTTAAGAAAATCGACACCGGAAGAGAGAGAGAGAAATGGAGCTTAACGTCCAGTCGATACAGCCTAGGTTCCTTCGGGACTAACATATGGTTTAATTTTATTTCAATAATTCGCTTGCGCGTATGGGTCTTCAGCAGTGGGAGGAAACCGGAGGAACCGGAGAACCCCCACGAAGTTGGACAGGCAACCCTACTCCTTGTCGCGTACAACCGGGGATTCGAAACCACGCCAGTTGACTCAATGACAAGCCTCATGATACAGCGCGCACGTGCTAACCATTCTGCCCCCACCCCCTAAACGACACCGGAAGGATTAATTAAGAAACTTAAGGTTAAATCTTACCTTAGATTTAAGATGTTTAATGCATATGGGCCCTGACCCGAAGCCGATTCGTAGATGGTCGATCTTGGATAAACAGTGAGAAGATATTTACATGTATGATGGGAAGCTTGCTCTCTTTAAAATTTCGAGGCATTTCGCTTTTGATGGTGTTTACTATAACAAAACATAAAGATACATTCTGGATAGAAAAATATATGAATTTATTTATGACCCGATCCTAGCTGTTGGTCAAATAACCGATGGTTAACGCATGTAGACGGGGTGTTTATTGCAGAAGCTAACGGAAAAAAGTATGGCCTGATCTCAATCGTAATGGGCTTCAGTTACCCCCCTCCCCCAATCCCAAACCCATTTTGGAACTACTAGCAGACGATGGAACGTTCACACCTTCAGATATTAGAAAACATTTATGCATGAAATGTTGGTAAAAAAAATCGTTAATTCTGATCTGATAACATATATAAATATCCCCAATTTCTCGATCGTTGTTTTAACTTAAAAAGAAAAACGGGAAGGTAAATAACACTGTATAAACTGGTCATTACTCTTTCGTTTCCGACGTGGTTTCCCCTTGTCAGTGGTGCAGAACAGAGGGCCTGACAAGGACAGCTGTCTAGTCCTTCGGATGAGACGAAAAACCGAGGTCCGTGTATACATTGGAATGCACGTAAAAGATCCCTTGGCAGTTGAAATTCGATGAAAGAGTAGGCGACAGTGCCGCTGCCCACAGGCTTCACAACAAATTCGAAATATTACCATTATTAGAAAGAAACATATTGAAAAGTTTTAATAGTTCTTGGGGAATGACCATCGATGGGAAGAAGGGTGCAAAAATTACACATACCATATTTCAACATGCTAAATTTGGGGCACTGAAGGATGCAAAAATTACAAATACCATATTTCAACATGCTAAATTTGGGGCATTGACCGCTAACAGTATAACTAGCTTCTGTCTCCAGGGTAAATATATCGTTATTTATTTATATTTGATATTTATAAAAACAATCAGAAATTTCACGGACTTTATTTTATCCTAAGAATTACAAGCATTTCATAAAACTTTCACCTTCTATAAACTTTATTAACAGGTAATATTAGCTTTATAAAAGAAAATGTTAATCAAAATTACTTGTAGTAATCATTTCTGCGTTAAAGTATCTTTATCCACCACAAGTAGAGAGTTGGAAATTTTTGTAATAAGTGTAAGTATCGACGGTTGACGCCCAAGATTCATCACTTCCACCAAAGAAAGTGGAAAATGTAATTCCATCAATTTTAATATTATTGTGGTTCCTAAAAACCAGTGCCATTCTTTCGTAAACTTGTGTGCCATTAAGCCAAACCTTTACATAACCATTATGATTAGATGGATCATTCAATTTCACTTCCTGTTCAAGTCGTAACCATTGACCAATCGCGAACTTCCACGACCCTCTCCCTAGCGAATTTCCATACTGGAAGTTACAATGGACGTCGGAACTTGTACAGAAGTCTGATGTTTGGTTATCCGGGATGTAGGCATATACTTCTCCATTCCCATGGGAACGCCACATATATCTAGTAGTAAAACAATCCAGTGCATCACGACCACCAGAGCACCTGGTAGAACCACCCCAAAGCCCTGGCAGCTTACCCCCACGGACGAAATCAAAGTTTGGTTCAAAATACAGATCGTAACTTAGTTTCACACATATTCTTCCTTCAGCAAGATTTTCAGCATAAAAGCCCACTCCTCGGTAGCTGGTCTTGGAGTAAGATCCATTCTTGTAGAAATTTCTTAGGACTGTTTCTCCAGTACCAGCCGGGTCGCCAACAAAACTCAAAGACTCCTCGCCAAAGGGTCCGGATATTAAATTCCAGTTACTAAATGTGTAGCTCTGTGTGAAAGCATCATTTTGCCACAAAACACATCCACCTACAAAATAAATTTTAAGGGTAGATCTAGTATTCCCATAGTCTTGTGGGTTAATCTATCTAAATAGATACGTTCTTTAAAAAGTAATTCCACAGTTACTGCATCCCGACTTTCTATATAGAGATATGTTTCTGACGAATTTTCATATTCGAAAGCACACCCCCAATCTCAAAAAACAACGTTGTGCTAAAAATAATCGTGGAAAAATAAATGATCACGAACGACGTCGACGAAGCTGTTGGTGAGAGTGAGAAAGAGAGAGAGAGGGAATGGGGTTTAACTTCCACTCGACACAAACTAGGTCATTTCGGGACTAACACATGGTTCGATTTTATTTCAATAATTCGCTGGACAGGCGACCCTACTCCTCGTCACGTACAACCGGGGAATCGAAACCACGCCAGTTGACTCAATGGCAGACCTTATGATAGAACGTGCACGCGCTAACCATTCGGCCATCCAAGCCCCCGCTGGTGAAAGTACGTTACATTACCTCGCAAACAATGTTTTTATAAAAAAAAATATTGATATTTTGCATATTATCGACGGTAGAAATCAATGCTGATTTCTGGTAGACTTTCAAATTTTAGGCAAATAATTCTAAAAACAAGTATGGCAAATCTAAATGAATAGCTTACCTACAACTGTAAATATTGCTACAAGTACAATGTGTACCCCACAAATCTTATCATAAATCATGGCGTCTGATACAATATGTCAGCAAAACTCTAGCTGTCACCTGGGAACTGTCTGTCTTATTTATACCACTATCTGAACTCTGTGATCCAATTTATTTTATCTAAATTACTAAATACACACACAATATGGAGTTATATTAACATAATATTTACTTAATGTCTTTATTTGAAAAAAAAATCCAACAAAAAAACAACTTATACAACTCACCTGTAACCTCCAACCCGAAAGTTTGGTATCAAAACATCGCCTGTTCAACGTCCTATGGCGATATCCGCTTTTAAAGGACAATATTGGTGTCAGTCATTATTACATGTGTGATAGAACTGGTTAAATACATTCCAAATACATGCATCATTTTAACACAGAGATCATTGCTACGGGAGATGTGTAACAAGCACGTGAAGAAACGGGAAGTGACGCCAAACATGACTGAAGTAACGAGCGGTAACAGACAAACGATCGAATTTCATTTCACTGATAATTCCGTTGAAGTTGAAAAGTTATTATAATGGACGGTGAGAGGGTATCTCACAATTCAAAAATAGAATTGGCTGTCACTAGATAAGGGACACGAGAAAAATAGAAAAATCCCGTGCATTCCCCCGTTTATATAGAAGGACAACTCGTGTTTGTCATGTTTGACGTCACTTCCCGTTTCTTCCCGTGCTTGTTACACATCTCCCGTAGCAATGATCTTTGTGTTAAAATTATATTTGGTGTGTATTTAACGAGCTCTATCACATATTTTATAATGACTGACACCAATATTGTCCTTTAAGATTTTCTCGCCACGCAGAGTAGGTAAAAAGGTCAGTGAAAATAACGTAGCTACCGTTTGTAATCACGAACCAAAGTTTGGAATGCACATCCCAAGTTCGAATGTAATCTAAAATTACATCTCAAGCTATCTTTACAGAATTTGTTTCAAAATTCCAGGTAAAATTCGCGATTTGGGGTTTGTCCTAGATAAGGAATACGATGAACAGAAATAATGGCGTCGATGAGAAATGAGGGGAATTTGGCACCGAAATTGGCCCAATATAAAGTGCGTGGACCTGGCTAGCTTTGAATGGGGTGTATACAAACATCATCTTTTTAGTTTTAAGCCCCCCCCCCTCCTCCACCCTTCAGGTTACTTCATGGGCGACATATCAAAGTAAAATTTGTTTTAAATATTCAATCATAAAGGGCATCGAAAGGACATGAGAAGAGAAGGCACATGCCAATTGTAATCGACGTGATCGTATGAACCGTTTCAAATCGCAGAATGAAGTGAAGTGGGTGATTGTTTTTTTAAACTGGGCGTATTTTTTTAAAATTTATTTATGTATCTTTCTACCGTAAACATAGAGGTATTTGTACTTTATCTACTTTAATATTAGCATGTATTTACTGATAAGAGTCTGCAAAAAAGGGTGGGGTTATTTATAAATTTTTGTTATCTATGTATATTTTATTTATAATACATACTATTTATATCTCTATAATGTTTTGGCTATAGCACTGAAACTTTTTCCCTGGGAAGCCACATTGGCTTGTGGGGGCCCTGCCTACAGTTACTGAGAGATGCAAATAAAAATGTCCTGAGATTTGTCATGTTTCGTCAAAATGAAATCATGGATTACTTTTTTCAAACTGAGATTGCGTTAGCTCGAATAAAAACATTTTCGAAATATATTGTCTCGTCGCCCCAACATAACACTTAACTGTGATCCAACCGGATCTACCCCACACGTGGATTCCAATGCTTAAAAATGAGTCAAACATCTTTGATTCAGGTCAAAATGAAGTACATTTAAATTGGGTTGATCTTATGTGTTATTTCGAGAAGTGATGGAGCAAGCTCTATACGGTTAAACGAAAACCGGGGTACCGAGTACACATTGACGTGCACGTAAAAGAACCCTTGACAGCTGGAATTCGAAATAATATTAAGCTGTAGTGCCGCTGTCTGGACAAGATGTCCCTCGTGGCGTATACCCGTCTTAATTAGCTCAGTCGGTGCAGAAACGCGGGACGTTAAACATCATTTCATTATACGGTTAAATATGCATTTCCAAAATGTGATGAGATTGGTGTGCTTACTAATTCTAGTTTCGTTCTGGGTGAAACTATGGTCTACCGAAATTTTTTAAACTTGGTGAGATACTCAGTAACAATCTTAAGTATGTTAATCTTTATTGACTTTTGTAGAACATTTTCTTAATGGATAAGGAGAATAGTATGCATTAATCTGTATAATTTGTCACAACTTTAAAAAAAATCTAATTAAAATGGGGCGATTAAAGATGCATTATGTAAGTTTTAAATAAAGACTAACCGTGCTTGCTATACTAGTTCAAAAATGGGTAATGGGTAATGAATATATTGAAAATTTCATTCAAATTACTTTTTTTGAGCGAAGTTATGACTGTTTGAAGATGTAGCGTAGAATGTTTATTATCGTAGCAATGTTGCTTGACAATCTGGGCTTGTCGCGTGAATAAATGTCTAAATAATAGTGTATATAACATTTAAGTCAAAATAAAGACCTTCAATAGGCAGATTTAGCTCTTCCATAATGCATCTTTAAGGATTAATCTCACAAGTAGATAGTTGGAAATTCTTGTAATAGGTGTAGGTATCCGCAGTGGAGGCCCAGGATTCATCACTGCCGCCAAAGAATGTCGAAAATACGATTCCATCAATCGTCACGTTATCACCGTTCCTATAAAGCAACCCTGTTGTCTCATGTTTTGGTACTCCGTCAAGCCAGACTTTGACGTAGCCATTGCGTTGTGGTGCATCGTTAAGTTTGACTTCCTGTTCAATACGGAACCACTGTCCCACGGGATAACGCCATTTTGCTCTTCCGATTGAATGCCCAAAATTGAAATTGCAACGAATGTCTGGGCTTGTGCAGAAGTCATCTGCTTGGTTATCTGGTATATAGGCATAGACTTCTCCATCACCGTCAGCGCGCCAAACGAATCTAGTAGAAAAACAATCAATGGCATTCTGTCCACCTGAACATGAGGTAGAACCACCCCAAAGGCCTGGGAGTTTGCCACCTCTTACGAAGTCGAAGCCCGGTTCAAAGTATACATCAAATCCAAGTCTGGCACAATTTCTTCCTGGAAAAAGGGTTTTGGAATAGAAAGCTGTTCCCCTGAAGGCGGTTTTGGAGTAAGACCCATTCTTGTAAAAAATCCTTATAACATCTTCAACAGAACCGCAAGGGTCGTCAACATAACTCAAGGAGTCTTCTCCCCATGGTCCGGCTATTATATTCCAGCTACTGAAAGTTGTATCTTGTGAAAATGGATCATTTCCCCACAGAAGGCATCCGTCTAAAATTATACAAATAAAGATTTTATTAATTCTAGAATCACAAATTGTAATGCTTTACCAAAGACTTCCACTCCACCCGACCCTTTTTTTTGGGGGGGGGGGGGGTGAAAAATTAAAAAAAAAAATGACTCGCCACACACACCTGATAACATGAAACATTCATCACATTCAACAATTTTATTTATTCCCAATAAATAATCAAATGCGCTAAACATTGGCAAAAACATGACAATAAACAACACTGTAACCAATTTGACGGTTGACTTCATAGTCGTGAGTTGGCTGTGGATTTTTTTGACAAAGCGGCAGCGAATACAATCAAGCCACAAGGCCTGTCCTTTCTGCGAAAGCAAGATATTATTATGATCTTTACAATCGACAAATTTTTAAAACATTATGTCTTTGGGATGGAAACTGATTTCTCCGTCTTTCGATTCATATATTTTACTTATGACCCTCGCCGTCGGTCGATTTACGCTTTGCGGTTATTCACGGAGTTATTACCCTTGCGAACGAGAAACGTTAATTATGCTTTTTGAAATTCTGTTATCCACTCCCATAATTAGCGACAGAAACAACTTCAATATATACTCAATTACCTATGAGACAATAATATTTGAAAAGATATGCCTCGATCTTTACTTTAGTGGTACTGACAATAAAATTCCATTTTCTATGTCAACTTAAACTTCACATTTCCATATTTTCCATTATGTATATAAACTTGTAGATAAAAATAATCTATAGAATAATAAACAAAACAATTCGACGTGAAAATGTGCTATATCGCCAATATAAATGAATAATTTAGCCATTTCAAAATCAACGATTATTTAGAGAGTTATTATCCTTGGTTTCAAAAATTGCATGATCCAATCGTTTTATCATAATCATAAAGTTTATTAATTTTCGGCGTACACTGTATATCCGGGGTGAAATACGAAGTTATTAACAATGCCTCGAAATCTACGAAAAAGCGCTGCCCGGGAAAAAGTAATCGGAGAATTTATTTTCGGGAATATTTTTGGTTTTATACTATCATTATAAAGACCATGTAAACCCACTTTGGGGGAAAAAAGCTGACACATCAACGATTATATATTCTTATCAAAGTGCAATCATTAGCCGAAGGTAGTTTAACCGGGGTCTTCCCATATCGCTGACTCTTCAGAATTTGGAAAGTCGACCGCGGCACTCTTTGATGGGTTAAAAACGGATTAAAAACGTTAATGAGGCAGGGACCAGTCATTATTACTATAGTTCACTTAAATTGATTTTTATCAGAATTCAGCTCACTCACTAATTAATAAAATGAATATATTTCACTTAAATTACATGAACTTGAATTTTGTCAGAATTCAACTCACATTCGAAACATAGATATGAACAAGGAAGAATGAATTTGTTAGAATTTTTGGACTATATTGGACACTTTTTTGGACACTTTATGCGTGCAAAAAGTTAAAATTATGTGTTATGTTATCTGTTAAAGGTTTACTGTTTGAATGGCATTTAGTAATTGAACACATTAAAATAAACACAACAGTTCTATGGATAACAATTACTATATTTAATTAAAGCTACGTTTCAACAATGATTCTCTTGTCGTTATCAAGCACAATACTGATACAGACAGAAGGAGTGTTATTTTAGTGTTTGAATGGCATTTAGTAATTGAACACATTAAAATAAACACAACAGTTCTATGGATAACAATTACTATATTTAATTAAAGCTACGTTTCAACAATGATTCTCTTGTCGTTATCAAGCACAATACTGATACAGACAGAAGGAGTGTTATTTTAGTGTTAAAGGTTGTTATAAATTTTTAAAAAATAAATGCTCGAGCCAATATTATCTGCTTAATGAGTTTTATCCTTCTGCTTGGGTCTATTGTTCTTGGCCACTCAAGCCCTTCACACCGACACAAATTTTTCACCTAAAAGTCGGCGATATGGGAATGAACCGTTTAACCACTACACCATAATTTAATTATTTTAAATTAAATGAACTTACTTGCTAACAAAACACCCCAAAATAGTAATGGAGTGAGAAAAATTGCAATGGAAACCATGACAGTCAGTGTCTTCTAACGTTCACGATAGGCTTAGTACTGTACACGTATGAGATTGATCAGGTTTTATATATAAAAAATTTGTCAAACAGATGTCTCTACTAGACGGCGCCTTTATTATTAATATTTAAAGTTCTAAATAATGTATCTAGTTAAACAATAATGAAAAATTTGAAAATGAAATCATTATGTATTATTTTTCAAAAGCGAAAGGCGATATGATACCCCCACCCCCATCAATTATAGAATTAATCTAGAAACCAAGTTTCTAAATAATTTTGAATTCTCAATTACTATGTAAATGCCAACAAAAATGTACCCCATAAACTAATTTTACCGAACGTATTATTTTTCTCATTTATTAGGACATTGGTGATTCCGCTAATATTATTATTGTTGACATTTTGATTGTCAGTAAAATGTTTTGTTATTTGGACTGTATTTTGTAAATGTCTATGAAAATGAAAATGTCTACTTTCTTTAAAGATACATTATGTAAGAGTTGGATAAAGGGCTGGCCGTTCTTGTTATAATAGTTCAAAAATAGATAATACAAAAGGAATATATTGAAAATTTCATTTAAGTTATAACTGTAGTTTGACAAGATGTGTGCATTGATTGTTCATTATCGCTGCTATTAAGACTTATTATCGCAGCTACGGTGCTGGTTACTCGAGGCTTAGACTCGCTCCCCCACTTTTAAATTAAATCATTAAATAGCCGAACCGTTATAATCTATTTAAAATCTCGCGTATCCGATTGTACCGAATAATTAACATTTAAGGCCCAAAGAAAGACCTGCAAAGGGCAATTTTAGCGCTTGAATAATTTATCTTTAAATATAAAATAAACTCAACGAATGTAGGTCTAGTTTGATTATCAATACGATTTAATCTTAATCATATTATTTCGCTTAGAATGGGCGAAATAAAATCAATAAATTTTATGACAACATTACACACGAAATAACAATATACAAAATCAAATAAACACCATATGCCACGAAAACCAAACTTTTTTCAGATATAGACAAGATTTAATATAATCATATTTCTTCCGCTTAGAATGGGCGAAATGAAATCAAAAAGTGTGTGTGTGTGTGAGAGAGAGAGAGAGAGAGAGAGAGAGATGGGGTTTAACGTCCACTCGACACAAACTAGGTCATTGCGGGACTAACATATGGTTCAATTTTATTTCCATATTTCGCTTGCGCGTTGGGGTCTTTAGCAGTGGGAGGAAACCGGAAAATCAAAAGGTTTTATGACAACTGTTCACATAATACATGAAATAACATATTCTAAAACATCAAATAGACACCATATGCCATGACAACCAAACTTTTTCGATATATAGACAAGAGAAATATCTATAAAAAGTAATAAAACCAGTAGAAATTAAATAACTTCTTATTATTCGATCAATAGATTTATGTTAATCAACTAAATGTAAATCATGTGTGGTTCACTAACACTTAGTAATCATGGCGAAATCAGCACTGGCCATTGTCAATTTAACAAACCCTTAATCCCCCACCCCCACCCCCAAAGAGATCGATTTTAAAATACTGATTATTGTTTATGGTGAAAATAAAAGGGTAAATGCGGAAACGAATTTTATTTAAGATAAACCAATAGTTATCGTATAGTGTTAGACTACATGTTCATGTTACCTAGACACTCGAGGGGTGCAACGAAATTCGAATAGATCTGAGTACACGGCCAAATGATACCTGTAATTAAAATACCATGAGACAGCTTCAACAGATGCATTTTACATGCAGCTACCTAGACAGAACCACCATTTAAAAAATTCTCGCTATCCTGGCACCGAATCAAGATTCTATTTGTCATTTGTTTTTCTGACAGCTGACTAACAAAAATATGAATTGCACTCTAAGCTACTTTAAGTAATGCGTGTCGACCTTTCTGATATACCAATTGTCCAGTCGACTTGGTAATGGAGTACCTCTTCTTCTGGAAGAATTCGGGATCGGTTCAGGGATATATAAACTTCACAAGATTAATTTGACATTTTGGGTATTTTACAACTAAAGATATAAAGTCAAAACTCCACGGGTCGCTATACAGGCACAAATTCGGCATAAACTTAATAAATACTAAATAGTGAACTCAATTTGTAAATAGTCAGTAGTCTTACTCCTAAACATGCAGCAAGATTTATCCAGAGTTATTCACCTAGGCGTCGCCGTCGTTAAGTCGGGAACTCGGGAAACCACCACTGACACCGTTTTGGATGATCGTGATTACCATGCTGTATGGTTGCACGTCGTGAATCGAAACGGAAAAATAAGTAACCCGTTTCTTGCTTTCACATCAGTCAGGCGTTTTGAAGTAGATTATTCTTACGAGAAGACAGCCAGAAGTGTTTAAAACATAAACATGCCGAAGAAACCAGCCAGAAATGCATTTTACTTTTACATGAAAGAGATAGAACCAGATCTAAAAAGAGAAGGCCGGGTTTTCCCAAATGGAATAGCAGACCTTGTGCCAGTGGCCCACCCAAGATGGAAAGAATTGCCAGAAAAAGAAAAAGAAAGATTTGAGTTTATGGCTAAAGCATACAAAAGTAAAATGCGTGGAGTGGAAGGCGACCAACATAAAATGGATAATGTTGGTAATATTATCAGTAAAAGAGTGAACCCGGCAGAGGTAAATGAGAAGAGAAGACAAAAGGAGAGAAGAGAGGTGACGGCTAAATGGACAGGCAAAGATATCACAGAAGAAAAATTTTATTTCATACATTTCCAGACCCTTTGTAAAACCGAAAATGGTGACTATTTGCCCTGTGAAATGGCTGTGGTAGAATACTCACTTATTAAAGGAATTACTAAAAAATTTCACCGATTTGTGGATCCTGGACAGATGCCTACAGGGTACCGGTATGTGTGTATGAATACCAGTGAAGAAACTCATCAGATTCCCATAGAAAATTTTGAAAAAGCAGACAGCAACTACACAGGACTGACCATTCAACTAGAAAACTTTATAAATCCTAATGGTGAACTCCCCGAATATCCACCATTTTATTGTTTAGCAGAGAATAGAGACATGAATAAATATTGTCTGGATTGGATACATGATCGTAGTCGCATGGGCCGTGTGAGTAGAATTCGTAATGTTTATTGTCTCGAGGATTTGTTAATGGATTTGTATGTTCACGGACAGGGACCGAAAATTTCTCAAAGTGGTTGTCTTGATATTCTCACTAGCCATCACTGGGATTATACATCTGGGACAAGGTGTGATTTTCACGAAGAACTAGAATGTAAATATTGTTCTCTTGCAGTCGTACAAAGATATGCCTATGCATTTTCTGATGCTTTGGCAGTTGTCTACCAGTTTAGACTGACAGACAAGCACTTACCATCTACCGCCGACGATGACATTCCCTGTGTAATAATGCCACCTGCTCCTATGTCTAACAGCAGACAGTATGAATCTTCTCAAAGAAGCCAGAACAGCTGGTCAAAGGGTAGAGGACAGAGAAGTGAGGGCTACAGATCGGGTACATATAGAGGCAATGATAACGATGATGAAGATGACACAGCTAGTTTATGCAGTAGTTCTACATGTACTACCGAGCCACTTAAAAATAGTCTAAGACGACCAAACATGTCAGGGATCGCCTTAAGTAGCAACAGTTGGGGTAACGTTCCAAGTAAAACACCAGAGGGTACATTTGATAATACAGAGTGGCCCTCCATAGGGGGAAGCAATTCTGGAAAATATGCTGGAAATGCCGCACCTCCTCTTGCATCAAATGCTCCAAAACCTCCAGCTGCCTGGCAAAATCCTGAAATGACAGAATCAAATATATTTGGCCAATCAAATATACCATTACAAGATAAAACTCCTGAATCTGCAGGAAATCCTGTGAATCCTCCAATACAACAAAATAGTTTGGTACGTCCACTTGGTCCAATGGGTATGCCTCCACCCAATCAAACATTTAATATGAGAGGTGTTCAAAATCCAGGGGCAGCAAGACTACCCATGTCTTTAGGAATGGCAGGTCGTGGCAGTAATACCACAGGTGGTCAAGCACGGATGCCAGTTGGGAGGGGGTATGCACCATCAGTAGGTAGAGGATATGCACCTCCCGTGGGAAGAGGTTATGCTCCACCAGTAGGAAGGGGTTATGCACCACCTGTAGGACGGGGTTATGCACCTCCTGGAATGAATAAAGCAGAGAAGCAAATTGATTGAATGCCTTTAAATGAATAGAAATTGAATGTTGACATTTAACACTGCTGTCCAGATGAATGTTATGTGCAAACATTTCAAAAACAATAATTTGTCATAATATGAAATACAGGTTTTTTTGAAATAGTACTAATACTGTTTATTAGAGAAAATCAATGTTTAAAATATTTTTTATTCCTTCAGCATTCAAGATTATGGGGGTAAATATGTTCAGGGGCCTTCTATCTAAACTTTTCTAAATGTACATAACATAGCCAATGTCTAGCAATTTTGATATTAAAATTTAAATCGGAAATAGCCACACACATGAGATATGTGAAATAATTTATTTTTGTTTAAAATCCAATTGATTTATTTGGAATGTTTGTAAAGCTATAAATACATTGATGTACATATGTAAATGACTGTATGAAAATGTGTTTATATTAAGGCCGTATAAAACTTTTTTTCTGGTTCTGCGATACTCTTGTCACTTAAAAAGAGTCGCAGTTAATTACATGTAAATGCCCTCCCTTGGTTACAGGAATGGATTGAAATGTACTCAGTTATTGAGTACCGTACATAACCCTGATAAATGTTGACAATCAAAAATGATTCTGGATAATCATGCATTCAACAATTTGATGAGATATATGTAGTGCAAGATGGCTAAGTAAGTAAAACGCTGGTTCGATAGCCTGGAGGTTACGGGTTTGTTCTTGGTGTTGACGGAGAAAGTTCATGATTTTTCAGTTTGGTTTTCCCCTTGTCAGTAGTGCAGGACGGAGGGCCTGACAAGGTCAGCTGTCTGTCGTTCGGATGGGACAAAAAAACGAGGTCCCGTGTACAAATTGGTGTGCACGTAAAAGATCCCTTGGCAGTTGGAATTCGATTTAAGAGTAGGCCGTAGCGCCGCTGTCCAGGCAAAATTTCACATGTCCATCTTTATTAGCTCAGTCAGAGTAGGACGTTAAACGCCATTTCATTTCACATTGTGCCTTGAAACGTGATGTCATTTAGCCCACTAGTGATGATTTTATAAAATAAAAGATAAACCTTCCTCCATCATCAGATTTTTATGATAGATCGTCTGAGAACCTGAATATTTTTTTTTGTATGGCCTAAAATTAATATCAGTATTGATTTTGTTTTATCTGCAGTCAAATCAGTTGGAACATTTTACTGTTATTGATTTGCGTAAAGCTTGAATGTTTTTGTATTTTATTTTACAAAAAACCCGGATGTTTGCTTTGAATTTGAATATTGTTAGCTGAATTGTGTTAGGAATGATATCTTATTATTATTATTGTTTATATTCTCTTTGCTCGTCACAGGTAGTGGTTCTATGCAGTTAGACTAGAGTTATTGATGAAAAGATATGCTCTCATTTTGTTTAAATTATTCGGACCTTAAAAGTCTCCGAGTAATGTTTATTTAATCCCATATAAATAAAATATTGTCAATGTTGTATCCCTAAAAACAATATCAGTTTTGTTCAGTATTTACATAGATATACTGAATTGAAAATTTCGGAGGACAAAATAAACAGTGTATGGTTAAAGCAAGCCAGCACACCCTTTAATCTCCAATAATTAAACCAAACTGGGAAATTATGTATTATTGATATTTTGATTGTGTTTTCTTAATTGAAGATTTAAGCAGTGAAAAATTAGATATTGTCAGAAAAGGCAAATGACGATCATCTGATTTATATACACAAGGCTCTTACACTCTGTATTATCATTGTAGTTATTTTATTCTTTCACATGAAAATGTGGTACTGTCTCTAGCCAATATGCAAAGATTATAGACATCTTATAATGTCATAGAGTAATCTGCTGTATCTTACTCTGTTTTAAAGATCAATGATTTATTCTAGATTTAAGTTGGGACACAAGATGTAATGAAAACGAACCAACATTGTTTTGTTATGCTGCATTATTTCTAGTAATGTGTGATACATGTATTTATGAATTGAATGCATAGTTTGTTCAGGTACATATGTGTATATATATTCAGCTTATAAGTGTAAATATTTCATTATACATGTAAGTATGTCATTTTAACTCGTCATGGCATAAACAGTGCTTATTTTTATGAATAAAAATTTATTTTATCTGATAATTATTTAATAGTTCTTCAACAGATTATTTTGAAAGGCAACAAAATGTCAAATCCTGAGCTTTCTATCAAGGTGTTCAGCAAAGTATTCTTACAGCAAACCGGTGCTTCACTAAAGAAATGATATCCTACTTTCCTCATTGACTGGTCTTATGGAGACTGGCATACTCTCTACAGTGTGCTATGAGGGAAATTTTGCCCGGGCTGTGGTACTATGGCCTGCTCTTATTTCAAATTCCAACTGGACCTGGTTTTTTATACGCCCACATTTTCATGTGGACGTATATTGTTGTCACCCCTGTTTGTCCGTCTGTCCACAATTTGTTTGTGGACACCCTACAGGTCACATTTTTTATCAGATCTCAATTAAACTTGAAATATAGCCTTTTCTCTTAAGATCTCGGTTCCTTTCGATATTGGCATTTTATGGACCATAACTTCATGGATTATGGCCCCTGATTGTACGAAAAATCGCGTTTTTAGATTGTGGACACTCTAGAGGTCACAATTTTCATCCAATTTTGATGAAACTTGAAATGCATGTTTATAACCCAAAGATCTTGGTTCCTTTCGATATTCGCGCATATCGGATCGTAACTTTCTGAATTATGGCCCCTGATTGTATGAAAAATCATGTTTTTAGCTTGTGGACCCTATAGAGGTCATAATTTTTATCCGATTTAAAAAATCGTTTTAGTATATCACCATTACACCCTGAGGACGGCTAAGGTCGAATTTCGTGAAAATCGGCCCAAAACTGACAGACAAAATGGCCGCCCCTCGTTCTCAAATAGCGTAAAAATATGGTACATCAAGGTTGTGGACCAAATAGAGGTCACAATTTATATCCGATTTTGTTGAAATTGGAAATGTAAGTTTATAACCCAAAGATCTTGTTTCCTTTTGATATTTGTGCATATCTGACTGTAACTTCCTGAATTATGGCCCCTGATTGTATGAAAAATCACGTTTTTAGCTTGTGGACCCTATAGAGGTCATAATTTTTATCCGATTTAAAAAAACTTTCGAATATATCACCATTACACCCTAAGGATAATTGAGTTTGAATTTCGTAAATATCGGACCAAAGCTGACAGACAAAATGGCCGTACTCAAATGGTGTAAAAATGTGGTTTATCAATGTTGTTGACCCTCTAGAGGTCACAATTTTCTTTTGATTTTTATGAAACTTGAAATGTAAGTTAATAACCCAAAGATCTTGGTTCCTTTCGATATTCGGCATATCGGATAGTAACTTCCTGAATTATGGCCCTTCATTATATGAAAAATCACGTTTTTAGCTTGTGGTCCTTGTAGAGGTCACAATTTTTATCTGATTTAAAAAAAATGTGTAAATATGTCACCATTTCACACTAAGATCATGGATCCTTTTGATAAACGCAGATACCCGAACTTAACTTTCTGGATTATGGCCCCTGATTGTTCGAAAAATGGCATTTTTAGCTTGCGAATTCTCTAGAGATCACAATTTTTTTTCCGATTTTAAATATTTCACCATTCCACCATAATGAATTTGTTCGCAAATTGTGTAAAAGTATGCAATACGAAGGTTGTCAACCCTCTAGGGGTCACAATTTTTGTCCGATTCTGATGAAACATAAATCATATCTTTATATCCCAAAGATCTCGGTCCCTTTTGATATTTGTGCATTTCAGACCATAACTTTCTGGAATATTGCCCCTGATTGTACAAAAAATCCTGTTGTTTTTTAGCTTGTTCTCTATCCATCTCTTGCAAAATGTGGGCGTATCCTGCCTGGCAGCTGCTGGTTGACCCATCCAAACAACTAGACACTGTTCCTTCTCGGGGCCCCCAGTTCTGCACTAATGACAGGGGGGGGGGGGGCAGGCTGGAAAATGAACAAATGAAGGCCATTTATATTTGGCTTTAGTTGTTGTTAATTAAAGTAGAACACGATTTACCAATCATAGTTGACTGGGACTGCTTGTTGTGGAGGGTTAATAAGTACTATAGTTGAAAATTACATACACAAACACCACTGCACAGCTCTGGAGAAATTTTATTAACAAATATCATTTTAATAAGATATAGAGGATATTTGTCGTTTTGTCGTGAATAACATATTTTATTTCATCTCTAAGCAAGAAAACGTTTATATTTTCACTCATGCAAATGTTCTATTTATTTTATGATTTTACAATCATTTTAGGTAAAAACAACATGGACTACTGCTAGCCAGTGGAATAACACTTTTATTTCACTGATAAAACGCTGCATTCCACTACTGATCATAAAATAAAAGCATTTATTTTATTTGTATAAAAGGTATTTCCGAAGACCCACTTTTCAAGTTTCATTTCACAAACACACACAAAGTATGCCGGAATCAAATATAACCTCTACAATATAAATATGGGAAATGATTTCAAATTTGGCACATTATTATTATTTATAGGCATTTATAAGCACATCTGTTTGTAAAGGAGATTATCTATATCCATATCAATTTCAAACTATGTATTCAAAGAATGATGAAAATTTAATCCTTCCAGTGAGAGCACAAGTAACAAGAAAAAGGCTACCCTATGGTTGTGATACGTGCATCTGATCCTTTAGATAGTGTCAAAAAATTATGTTTAAATTAATTTGTAACATTTAAAAGTAATTGAACTAGAAACGAAATGGAATTTTTAACACAAGGTGTAGAAAACGGTAGAATTTACTATGTAAATGGTAATTTGATATTGTACGGATTATATTGAGATGATTTTGATATTTTTGGATGCACCGGTAAACTATAATTTGGAAGAAAGTTTGTTTTTTCTACACATGCCAAAGGGAGTGTTATAACAGAGTTATTTCCCTTTGTTGTTGGACTGGACACTGGATGGCACTCATATTGATCTATTAATTTTGATTCAGTATCCTTCTTTGTCCTTTTGTATGGTATAATTGTCTGAGGTATTTCACTAGATCTCTTGACACTTGTAAAAGTTGAATTAGGTTGTGAATTATTTGGCACCGTATCATTGACAGTGTTAGTTAATGTCTCATTAAATGAAGTTGTTGTTAATGATAAAGACGAGTCTATTCCGCTAGTTACTGTTGCTGATCTTTTTCGAACATATGGTTTAATTTTTTGCGGATCGATTGTTTCAATACTGTCCAATATTTTATCACTTCCATAATTCATTTTTCTCTGAAATTGATTCCTGTTGAATAAAGAAACACAAAAGATTTAAAAGTCACAATGTGGCCCACAGTCAATGATCATTTAAAATTATCTAAAATCAGGACTGAGAGAGAGAGAGAGAGAGGTTGAACTTAACTCCACACAAACAGGCTTAATCTGTTTTACAGAGATCTTCTAATATCTCTGTAACAGATGAAAATTCATTACTGATCAGTGTGAAACAGACTATTCCAGGGTGCTACAATTTTATTAATTCGTTTGGCAGTGGGAAGAAACCAGAGTTGACCCATGAGGTTGCACACACAACCTAATCCTTGTCACAAACAAGCATGGGATCATAACCATGTCACTAGACTCAATGTGAGACTTAAGATCAAAGTCTAAATGATTAAACAAAATAGATAGGGCAGATGCCATTTTATCCTTGATCTTCGTGTGCAGAAATGAACTACCGGTATTGCTCAAGCATTGGCCAATGAAATATGACAGAAAAAGATTAAATCAATAAAAGTAATGAGATCTTTAAATGGCTAGAACTTCTGTTCTGGCTGACAAATTTTGGGCCAAAATTCCTCTTGGTGTTAAGCCTACTTAACTTTAAGCGCCCTTTACTTTAGTCGGAAATATTGTGCCTTTTAGTAAAAAAATTTTGAATTGAATGTCAGTTCAGTAATATTAAAGATAATTATATTTATTTAGCTGTCATTTATAATAAGCATCCACCCTTATCACCATCATTACAGACAAAGAATCAGAAGACTTTATTGTCTCATGAAAAAATGCAACCTAAATGAGGGTTATCTTGTATGGTACTGCTACAGTAACTACTTTGTAACAGAAAAATGTATTAAATTTAATACATATTTTGAAAATTCACAATTGTGTTTTTCATAAATTATCTGAATACTTATTACTAACTTATTATTTAAACGCCTTTGATGACTCCAAACACCACCAAATGATGGCAGCCATGATGCAGATGCCACAGAATGACGATTAAAATTAGCTCCCACTCGGTTTTCTGGTAATTTTTTCTTCTTCTCCAATTTCACTAAAACCAAAATTTATATTTTAAATTAATAAGTGTTTGATATGATCCTTTTTATTCTGAAATGTTACACTTGGGGTAAGTTTGTCAAGTTGATATCTTGAAAATAATTCTTGAGAAAGTCAGCGTCGCCGACATAAGCATTGAAAGTTTAACAGAATTGAACTCTACAAATTTTACGGTGTTGAAGAAACTTGACATAGGTTAAGTTCATAAGTATAAATAGTTATGCCGTTCAACATCGTATGACACCGGTTGGAAACGTTGGATGCCGTTTCAAAGCGTCGGAAATATAAACCCAACTTTCAAGGTGATACAAAAGGGCGCTATCTCCCCCAAATAGAGTAAACACAAGAACTTAGAGCACCAATCACTAACACATGGATACAGGTTTATCATGTTTTGTCATGATTTTAATCAAACTACATCTAATATTGGAACTGACAAAATTCTCATTGAACTTGCTACTCCTAGTTCAGAACATTACAGACTCCCTATAGAGAATCTGCCTATATGTATGAAGGCAGTAGATAATTAACCAACATGTTCAGATTATTTTCTGAGGTTGGAAAAGTATGAGATGTGTATTGTGTAATATATAAAGTATAATTACTTACAATGTTTTTCATAATCTGATAATGTAGGACCTATGTCTTGCCTATTTATATCATCTGTAGAATGTTGTAACCAAGGGGGAGCAGCACCGGTAAATATATTTCCCTTTTCTTTATTTCCCTGACAATTATAAATCATATTAAAAACAGACATTCGTTCTTTCAGCATATTTAACTTTTTATTGGGTCGACGAATAATAAAATGAGGTTTGATCATAATTTTCTACATCAACGAGGCTAATATAGACAGGTATACCCCATACAAAGTGCCATGTGTAGTTATTTCCCTTTTATTCTACAATAGGGAAAAATGTCTTGTATTTTTCAAGAATCATGTGGCTATTTTTTTCACCTATAAATAAGCAGACATTAAATAACTAAATCCTTAATGCAATTGTAACTGTTTGTCACAATAATTATAATTGTATAAAAATCATTTATATGTAGAAATCATTATTATCAAGATATCTTTCTTCCTCATGCACCAAAAATATACCTGGGGGGTGGTTGTTATCAGAAATTTGATTAAAATTATACCTTTGGACGTTGAATAATTGTCAAACCAAAACTGTTGGTTCTGGGTGCATTGATGAGCCTTTCCACATCTCTATTATCATCATCAGAGGCAGAAGTCTGTGGATTTATTTGTCTTATTGGCTGATAAAGATTCAGGAAACATATACCAGTAATATGAATAAAAGCAAATGGTATTTGAACAGATTTTAGAATCAGATTACCTTTATCAATACTATAAAGAAATTGGTCTGCTCGTTATTTTTTCAAAGATGTACTTTTTGATTAGGTGAGAGATCCAAAACATCATCAGCTTTCCTTCATAAGTTTTATACCACAAATAGTTAAAATAAATTCTTAAAAACTAAAATCAAAGTTGTTTATCAAATTGTCCAGCAGTTTAGTGATTACCAAATGCTTCAATACTTTGAGTTGAAACTTTAACTTTGAGATAAATGGCCTATTTCTTCACATGGTAGGTGGTGAGACTGTGAGGAAATAGCCCATTTAAGATGTCTAAAAGTTTCAGTACCATTGTCTAAATGTACCATTTTTCATAAAATTAAATTTCTGTAAGTTAAACATACATTGTGCAAGAGCTAAATTTGCCTATTGCAGGTATTTCTTTGGGCCTCAAATGTTTTCTACATTATTAATTAGACATTAATTAACATATCCAGGCCATAATCTTCGCTGGCAATAAAGTAATTTGAATGAAATTTTCAAATTATTAATTTTACATTATCTATTTTTAAACTATTATAGCAAGAATGGCTAGCTCTTTATCTAAATCTTACATAATGTATCTTTAAATGTACTATCTGTCATACAAAACTGGTAAATATGACAGAAATGGGGTCTGTGGATATTATTCTAAATATTCCATTACATGTCTATCATATCAATGTAATTTAACCATTTTTACAGTTGATCATATTTTGTTAATGGATACTATTTGGTCAACCAGCACACACCTTATCATATTGGTATTGTGTCTGGTACTGATGAGATAAATAATTTTGTCGTAATTCTTTTTGCTTCAATTTCTCAGCAACCTACAAGAAAAAAAATTGGACATCTAACATTATTAACTTTTTGGAAAAAAAAAGAAAAAATTAACTTTTTGGAAAAAAAGAAAAAATTAACTTTTTGGTAAAAAAAAATTGGTAAATTAGATCAAACTTTTAATCTTTATTTCATGCCCCAAAACTGTGAAAAGAATTATTGTGCATGGCAAATGTATTTTCATCATTTATTCTGCAATATACAATGCACTGATATATTGTGAATACCGGGCAACACAAATTTGCATAACAATAATGTGACATTTGCACTTGAATATCATTCTAATTTGCAGCTAATTGAATTCAGACTGTCCACTTAAATTAGATTTGGTTAATCAACATGATTTTAGTTCTTCTTTCAAGTATTAAACGAATGTATTGAATGTACCTTTAATAAGTGACTCTTCTGTTCTATTTTAAACTTGTCCACAGCTTCTTCTAGCTTCTGCTGAAATCTACATCAAAATAAGACACTCAAATTATTATATTTATGTATTAGCTAATCATGAATATTACTGTAAAAATAGGTTGCCAGACAACGAAACATATACACCCACAGCAGCTAAATCATCAGAGCGGTCTACATAAGTTGTCACATATCTATTCTTTTGTAGGTAATTGGGGGCATTACAAGACAATTTCATACAGATCAGATTATAATTTTAGTCGTTTGAGGGTTCATAAGGTTCTACAAACTGAAACAAAGGCCTTAACTCTTAGTACAGAAATTGTTGAAATTTAACAGGCTTTTTTCGTTTCACTAATTAAAAAAATGCATATAAATTTCATACAGATCAGATGATAACTTTCATCAAAGTGAAACATGGGCCATAACTCCAGAAGAAATGAACAGAAATTAAGTAGGCTTCTTCATCTAACTGATGTAAACAACATATTAATTTCAAAACAATCATATAAATACCATAATCATATACTGCAAGCAAACCATCTATTAAATAAAACAATTAAATTTTGTGAGCCATTGTAAAATACTGTTTCTTTAGAACTTCTTGGATATTTTTTTCATATATACTCAGCCAAATTAAAAACTTGACACTGATGAATTTCAACAATTTTTTTTTTCTGGTAAGTCAAATAAATTTTAAAGTGTTTCTAACGATAGTAAGTAGTAAGAAGCCTTTAATTTCATAAAATTGTAAAGTCACGCGGATCACGTGACTTTTGAGCATATAAAGATGAAAAACCTGAAAAACACATGCAAACACAAACTCGTGAGGTCAATCGATGCAAGTTTGCTTAAACTGAACACGCACACGTAACTTGAACTAGAAAAACAAATTAAAATTGTTATTTTCATCTTTGTTAGAAAATGCCGCGCCTTTCAAATGTAGAACGTCTACGTGCTAAAGCTAGGCTCTATGCTGGTGAGTCTGTGGTCACTGTTGCAAGAGCCTTTAATTGTTCACGACAGACAATAATTAATCTTAGAATAAGAGTGCTTCAAACTGGAACTATTGCCGACTGCCCAAGGGCAGGAGCGCCACGTGCGACATCACTCCAGGAAGATCAAGCAATACGATTACGTCATCTTAGAAACAGATTTGCCACTGCAACCTCCACAAGTAGAGAGATGTTTGGTGGAAGGGTAACTGCACAAACTGTTCGAAATCGCTTGCAGGCTGCTGGTCTTCGAGCTCGGAGGCCCTATAATGGACCAATATTGACACCTATTCATCGCCGTAACCGACTTGTGTGGGCCACAAGACACATAAGACAGTGGAATTCGGTTGTCTTTTGTGACGAATCTCGATTCACTTTGAGATTTGCCGATGGCAGGATCCAAATGTACTGCAGACGAGGTGAACGTTACGCTCAAGTATGCGTCAGAGAAGTTGACCAATTTGGTGGCTGCAGCGTCATGGTTTGGGGTTCTTTTTGTGCACATGGACGTTCTCCTCTTGTTGTTGTCCCAAGGGAACTTAAATGCTGTCCAGTACAGGGATCAGATTTTGCAACCTGTTCTTGTTCCGTTTATGCAGAGACATGGGCCTGGTCAAACGTTTCAACAAGACAATGCTCGACCCCATACAGCAATTGCTACCCATAATTTTTTAAGAAATGCCGGTGTCCAAGTCCTGGATTGGCCGTCGCTTAGCCCCGACCTTAATCCTATTGAACACATGTGGGAGGAACTGGGTCGACGTGTTCGTCAGCAAGTGAATCCACCACTGACGTTGCAGGACCTTCAACATGCTCTTGCTGAGCAGTGGCGACGTCTTCCTCGGGTAGTGTTTAATAATGTTCTGAGATCCATGAGAAGGCGTTGTGTGGCAGTACGAGACGCTAGGACTTTCGGCGAGACGTATTCTTGCTTTCTGTTGATGTCAAGGTCGTCTGTGCACAACATAACACTAAAATAGTTGCCTTAAACAAAATATTAAAAATCTAGTCCCAAAAATCCCAAGTGTCAAGTTTTTAATTTGGCTGAGTATATATCATACCCATTGTAAATATTGTTTCTTTAGAAATTCTTGATACAAACATTACTTTCACAGACATTGGATATTTATATCACAGCTTCTATATACAACACCCAGATACAAGTGAGCCAATAAGTTTAGTTCTAGACACCATGGATATCTTGAACAAAATTGTACACGTCATTTTAGGCTATTTCCTCTTTAAAATAAAAAAATTAATTAAACTCTAATAGCTAAAGATTAATACAATCAATAATTATGAGTACAAGAACTTACTTTTTCAATTCCTTGTCAGTAATGACATAGTGAGACTTTTTTTTTTTATCAATGATATTTTCCCAGAAGAAATCATTCATCTTTTGAACATGTTCTTGTCTAAAAATATAAATATTGAGAAAAATACATACATGTAGTTTACTTTTCCTGTAAAACTAATTCTGAATTGATAGGTCTTAAATTTAGTAAGAACAAAACTGCTATTATACTAAATGGAGGTCGAACATTTACCAATGTTTCCCGAAAAGAGAGCAACAGATGTTCTCAAAATACATGTACAGTGCTGAGTGTACCAGTATCCTCTTTCTTATGTCCTTCTAATTCTTTTAAATCTTCTAAAAATATAATGCAGACATTCACCAGTCAATGTAATAGACTTATGTAACAACATGACGTAAGACGTTATTGACATTGATTTTAAAACTTTATTACCATATATGTATATTACACTGTAACCCAGGTATCATTTAATCTTGAGTATCTTACTATCTAGCACTAATTTCTTTCACATTCGTTTAATATCAAATCTTTGTTTGAAAATTCGTAAAAACTGTTTAAAATCACCATAAATCGTTTAATTTGTACTTCTGTCCAGTTTAAAGCTTACCATTCAATTTTGATAATGAGTGTCCAATTTACAAGTGTTTAATTTCTCAATCACTGTTAAAAAAACAACCCAATTGATTAATGATGTATAATGATTAATTTTTGAACAGTGATTGAGAAATTAAATACTTGTAAATTGGACACTCATCATCAAAATTAATCAGTCAGCTTTAAACTGGACACAAGTACAAATTAGATGATTTTAAATGATTTTTACAAATTTTTAAGCAAAGACTTGATATTAAACGAATGTGAAAGAAATTAGTGCTAGATACACAAGATTAAATGATACCTGGGTTACAGTGTTACATGTATATGTTGTTGAAAATCATCTTCAATACTAGTAATTAAATTCATCCTCAATGACGACAATTTCTGTGTAATATTATCATTGTAAAAGATGTCAATCCTAATTTAACAGGATACACATCACACATTTATCCTATACTCTATTACGTTGATAGTGTGATGGTGTTGGTGATACCCAATTTGAATACACACACATACATGTATCACAGTAAATGCTGAAGTTGTATTAATAGAACCTTGTATAAATTGCTTCGGATCAACCCTTACATCAAACTTCATTTAATAATTAGCTTAATCAATCATATAAATTACATGTAGTTTGAAATTTAATTTAAGTGTATAAATGTTGTACATGTACAGTATCTGATTTTATACATGCTGGTGCCAGTAATTGTAACAGCCAAGTCACTGTAGATCAGCTACACATTATAACTAAAACAAAGCTAGACATACAAAAGAAACATACTTACAATGTCAAATGTTGTAAGAACTGACCACAGGTTACGATATATTCATCGTGAGAAGTATGTTTATTTATAGACTTGCCACAAAAATAACACCATACACTGGCTTCTTTTTCCCATCCTAAATTCATTACTTGAGGATTTTTAAGAAATGCTTTGGCCTCATCAATCTGCAATTAAATAGGACAGACATGTAAGTAATAATCTCATTGAAAATTCGTCTGAGCATAGGTTTGTGTTTGTGTGCAACTAAACACAGACATGTGCCTACAGCAGGTATGAGACTGAAGTAACAAATTCAAAAACATTTTTTCTCCCTCCTATGGAAAATACACTTTTGCTGCATCTATGACATGATCAATGGGTTGTTTACATTCCCTTGGATGAATCTAGGAAAAACACTATGGTCAAATTAAAGCAACTGGACACCTGATATGATCACAACGGTCCTATACTGAAACAAATGAAAAATTGACTTTGGTCAAAACTGCCAAAATGTTGGTCAAAACAGCCATGAAACTAATAATTGCCAAATTAATATAATTCACAAAAAAGAAAAAAAAGTCTTTAATTAAAAATAACAACTGACTCTTCACTCTTAATCATTTGATAAAAATAACAATTGGCTCTTAATCATTTTTGATAAAGATAACAATTGACTCTTAATCAATTTGAATAGGATTTCAACTACATGTGTAATCATCATAATTAGTTAATTATACTTATTGCATGCTGTTAATTACTTCAAACTCTTCTGGTAGTAAATGAAGATATAACCAACAAGATGAAAATGCTTTGGCCAGTTTGGTTCATGGGTGTTACATTTATGTCTGTAACTCCTGGACATGCACATTACAACACCAGTTTAGGAACAGCTTTAGAATTGTTTATCAGTTTTAGAGAAAATCGAAATCTCCCGTTTCTAAAGTAGACGGTTCAGACAAAACAATGTACATGTACGGTACTGTATATATGTTCGGCGCAGAGTTCTCCTCGCAGCCACATTATCCCCGCGCATGTGCGAATTGCTGTCTAATATCCGTTTACTAATCTGCGTGCATGGATTGGAATTTTCCCATGGTATTTAATGGATTACCACGACGTCCTTTCTTGTTTGGCAGATACATATAATTTTTAATAATCTTTTATATCCCTTACATAATAATGCAATTGTCAGAGATAACACTTAATTGGTGGAAGCGGACGTTAAATAAAAAACTATTTCACACACTGATAATCCAACGAATCCTTGTAGGTATTCACCATAGTTTAATTTATTTTAATGAATTTTGTGACCGTCTTTTTAGTTGTATAAATAGATGTACAAGCAAGGTGATACAGAAAGAGAAGTATGATCGCACAGTTACAAAATGTATATTTTTTTAGTGGGAACTGACCAAATTTTTGCTGCGTCACGGCCCAACAGCCCTTTAAAAAACTTAGGCCCACACATACGTACACATTTATCTGAGGATTTTTGTCCATTTAACCTGAATTCAGAAACATGTACAGTGCAATTTGATTATCTCACTGCGCACCAGTTTGATACTCGCAGATTACAATCCGAGTGTGAAAGGTCTAATCTGCATGGACACAGTGGACTGTGCGCAAAACGGCAACACAGACTGCAATCTGTCCAAGGTGTGAAAATGCGCCCAAAACTTGTACAACAACTTGTCTCCTGCCTTTGGCTTGCTTAGACTAGAGTAGGCCTAGTGGTCCTTTTTACCTGTTGTGAAATAAATAAATAACCACTGAATGCATCATGCATGTTCAGCACCCTTACCCGTTTCTTCAATTTCAGAAGTATGCCTTTAATAATTTCTTGGTGTCTTGATGAATACACGTGTTTCTTATTCTTATGTTTATGACTAATTTTGCAAAGACCACAATACTTAAATTGTATGAATGAAGTTGATTTCTTTTCGTTGTCAGCCATGTTGAACAGCAGGTGTATACTTTTAGACTCCCCCAAAAAAAGAGTCCTTTTGAAAACTGTTGTTAATCTGAAAATATATATTTATCCCCCAAAATTTCTGTTATATATGGTTCAGTCATTAAGATGTGTGAATTTTATTATGGGTGATCTAAACTAGAGAATGAGATCGTCATTTTTTAACTTCTTACAAACACATCTAGAATTACAGACAGATAATAATAATATTGAGTAGATTGAAAACAATCCTCTAAGGATAGTGCACCTGCTTAGAACCGATTTCGGTTGCTGAAATGAACCAATCAAATGCACGAACCGCCGATATTCCGTCAAAACCACAGTTATTTCCGTTTCCGGTATAGACGTTTCACGGAAGACTCGAAGACTCGAAAAATTAATTGAAAAATTGGGAAAATTTGTTCAGTTTTATTATAATTGATAATTTGATAATTGTACATGTATATGTAAGTTTGTTTTTATCGTCTATGTATGCTTTAAACTATAAACTGACTGTCAAAATAATGATGTAACTGTTTATATATATAATAATATGTAACAGGCATTGCCGGAGTGATAGAGCGAAGGTGATTATTGTCAAATATAAAACCTTCATAATTAATTATATCAAGTGATACAAATAATGTTAATTAATTTAGTTTTTCAAAATTGATTTTTATTTAGATCTAAATTTTATACATTAATTTTGTTTTTAAAAAAAGAACAAAAAAGTGTGAGAATTACTTTCATTGACGTAAAAAATATGTGACGTCATTGATTAGACGCGTCAAAGAAATAGTTCTATGAGGCGCGTAATCTCGCTTGGGCGAGATTTGGTGTGTAGAATTATTTTTGTTAGTTACGAGATCTCACTTGGGCGAGATTTGGTAAGTTGACATGCGCATTGCCTGTTTTGCCCAGTGTATCCGGTTCGGGTCTGAATTTTTTTTAAATCAACAGTCTGTGGGTGACATTTTCAATTACGCTCCTGTATTACCGGAAAAGAGGCGCATTGCTTTAGAGCTTCGCTCTATATTATAGTATGATCATGATGAGCCGAGGAGAGGAATTATAAATTTATAACATAATAGTAGCCTACAAGTACCGTAGATCATATTATTAATCAAGTATAATTGCCATCATGGCCCATAGGCCTACTATTATTTATTAAGTAATGACTAATATTGGAATAGGCCTACTACACATTATATTAATGTAAAGATCACATTAACATCAGGGGCGGATCCAGGAATTTTTGCAGGAGGGGGCCGGTTTGCCAGATTCCTGAGAAAATGTACCCCCCCCCACCTGGGCTTGACATTTTTTGAGAAATACATATGGTCTCTATTGGCATTTTGGCGTATATACACATACACATTGATCCTTTTAAACAGAGAAATCCAACATCCTGTTTGACGTCAATTTTTATTATGAATTAATACGATGACATTGTGATTCAATTTTATTGATGCAAAGCATTAATTGGGATATCACATATGTCTATATCATTATCTCGCGCTTTGAGTGCCCATCCTGTCCCACATCTGACGACAAAGGATAAAGCACAATTATGACACTTTTCTCATAAAAAAGTTTGTTTTACAAAAATTTTTATGTAGCTGAGCGGGGGGGGGGGGGGTTGGTCCCCCAAACCCCCCCTCTGGATCCGCGCCAGAACATGTCAATGTAAAGTCGAGCCGAGGTGATGCATGATTCACAGATTGTTGTTAGTCTGTAAAGTTCAGAATTAACAGAATTGCAATTGAATGACACAGAATTCAGTTCTGTCACGGTCCTGTCAGTCTTGACAAAATGAGGTAGTGTGAGAAGAATCCTGACAAAATTAAACACGATGACAATGGATATCTTTCAGCTTTCGTGGTCTGGAACGTCATCATCATTACTAAAGTCAGTACGATAAACAGCATAGTCTCGATTATCCATTTATTCTATAAATCGTGAAGGAAAGTTATGCAGTAAATCGGCTCATAATCCACTAAAGATCGCAGGCTAGCGATGCCATCTAGAGTTGATTATGGTCTGGATAGGTTAATTACCGTAATGTCTAATTAATAATTTAGATAACATTTCATTCCTAAAGAAAGACTTGCAATAGACAGATTTAGCTCTTGTATAATGTATGTTTAATAAATATCATTTTGTTCATGTAATAAATGGTATGTTTTTTTTTAACGTTACGACCAATTTGTATGGCCGTTACGACCAATTTGTATGGCCGTTACGACCAATTTGTATGGCCTTTATGACCAATTTGTATGGCCGTTACGACCAATTTGTATGGCCTTTATGACCAATTTGTATGGCCGTTACGACCAAATTTTTGGGCCGTTAAGACCAATTATTTTGACCGCTGTGGTTTAGTTCCGTTATGTCTATAACTCCTTAGAAATTGTGTAGGCTATCCCCTTATATTTGAGACAATAGAGTGGTCCACGGTCATCAATAATCAAATAGATTAGCTAAATGTTAATGTTGTCTATTTTACTGGAAGTGCTGGCAATACATAATGTTAGGCGTAATTTTCAGTTACTGGATTATTCATTGAAGAAATCGGGACATTTGTTATTCTGATCAGAGAAGCAAAAATGAGCACAGAGAGCCCTAAGGGTGCGACATAAATGAGCGCCCATACCGTGAATAAACTAAGGGGTTTAGGGGCATGCACCTACAAATTTTTTTTTGTTATTTCTAGAAGTCGGGAGATGCATTTTCGGTCATTTTGTGACGGTAGTTAGACTAAACATATGTTGTTGAATGGACCATTGACAGGCATTATATTGATTTGTCAACTTGTATTTTGTATTGTGTTATAAAGTCTGTAAACCTCAACGTCGTTAACCAATTAAATTATACCCAAGATCATACCTCAATTTCTTAATCTAGTGCACTGCAATTCCTGTTTTAGGTTTGTATTATGCACTGAACTATATTTAGATGATGAAGCACAAATATGGGCTTAGTCCCGAAATGACCTAGTTTGTGTTGAGTGGACGTTAAACCCCATTTCTCTCTCTCTCTCTCTCACAAATATGGGCGTATAATCTTGCATGGTTATATCAGGAAATGTCACAGCTATCCAGGGCTTGCTTGGCTGATCTCTAATAGATGCCGTCTCCTGGAAATGAGATGCCAGACTCGGGACGGTAGTCTGACGTTTGAGTAACAGCTCTGATATGAACACAATGGTGCTTTGACAGTGTTCAGTCGTCAAACTTGAAATATGGTTGTATGTTTCCCAGTCATCAGGTCAAGTTATATGTATCGCCACCAGTAACACTATAAATGCCGTGCAAGGCCTAGACCCTGTGAGTCACAGTTCTCAACCTACATGTACTTAGAACTGATCCGAGAGTCTGTCTGACAGCATCAGTTTGTCAAAATTCTGAATCATCAAATTTCTGCTGGTAATGTACTTTTAAGAAAAACAAAGCAAATTTTACAATTCATATATTATATTTCTTTTTGTTTCAGAAAAATTAACATTAAGTTCTTTTGTTAAAATTGGATCAGAAACGTAACACACCTGGGAACAAAATGCCTGCTTTAGTTGAAAGACCAAAGTTGACAAAAATGATGTACAAAGTATTACAACAGCATATAATGCGTGAGAGAGAACGAAAAAAACAAGGTAGATTAATATATTAATGAAATTGATTAATCCAAGGACAACATGTAGAGATCATGCTCGAACATTCTGGAACAATTTTAGATGACAAAGTATTAATATATATCCACTTGTTGATTAACCAACTTTGATGTGCTAATCGACCAAAATGATGATGGCTTTTGTCCTTATCATAGAATTGATAGGTTCATATATTGATTATTGGTAACGTCACATTATAGTTTCAGGAACAATGATATCAAAATGTCTTTTTCTTATCAGAACAAGAACAGGATGAATTGATGGAGAGATTGAAGAAAGAACGTGAACAAAAGAAAAAGCAAGAAGAAAGAGACAATTTAACTCTTGAACAGACCAAAGAAGAGGTAAAGATAGTGAAAATACCTAATAGACAATTGGAAGAATACAGAGAATTTCAACAGTGAATCATAAAAGAAAAACCTGGTGGTTTCCATCTGTTGATATTTTATTCATCTATATAATAAACTTTCTAAAATGCAAAATCTGAATGCAAATCATTTGCACTCTGCTAGGTAAATTAAGAGTAACTGTCATTCAGTATTTAAAAACACTATGCTACACTCTGTACTTTGTAAACTTGTTACATTGTTGATACACAAGGATAAAGTCATTGACTTAACAAGCATATGCATCTTGTTGTTGACAATGATTGATATATCCTTTCACAATGTAAAAAATTACATATTGATATGCTAATTAAGGTGGAAATGATTGGTTTGTTTTTAATATAACATAAATGAATAATATAAGAATAGAAAAATGGAAACCTTTTTAATCATTCATTGTACTTAACAGTAATTCTTTTACAGGAAGATTGACTTAAAAGTGGTATAATTATTTCCTTTTTTCTTTGAATGAGTAAAGATTTGTGTTAGTTTTTAATATTACTTAAATGAATGGTATAAGAATAGAAAAATGGAGACGTCTTTAATCATTTATTATACATGGAAATAAAGCCAAATTAACCTCAATTCTTTTACAGGAAGATCGATTTGAAAGCCGTATAATTATCTCCTTTTTTCATTGAATGAGTAAAGATTTGTGTTAGTTTTTAATATTACATAAATGAATGGTATAAGAATAGAAAAATGGGAATGTCTTTAAAATCATTTATTGTTCATAGAAATAAAGCTAAATTAACCATAATTCTTTTACAGGAAGATTGAATTAAAAGCCTTATGATTATTTCTCTTTTTTCGTTAAATGAGTAAATAAATGTTTTCAGATTCAGAAATTTGAACAGAAACTGGTGAATCTGAAGCAAGAAAAACACATATTGTTTTTAAAACTAAAGAAAATTCTCAATCAAGAAGAAGAAAACAGAAAACGAGTTCAGATTAAGGAGCAAAGGTATAATGGTTATTAAGTGTTGAATTTTGCTTTTAGTTCTGCATGGTATTAACATTTAAACAAACCATGACAAGGAGTAGGCTTGTTAGTCCGACCTCATGATCTTTCTCCGAGCTGTCAGTTTTGTTCCACTGCTAAAGTCCCCTACGCTCAGGCAAATTATTGAAACGAAATAGAATCATATGTTAGTCCCGAAATGAAATTGTTTGTGTCGAGTGGATGTTTAACCCCATTTCTTTGTTTGTCTCTCTCTGTCTGTTTAGTTAGGCTTTATTCTGAGAAATATCAGTTATCTCCCTTGCGCTTGGTAGCAGCAGAACAGAGCTCTCTCAAGTTTTTACAAAGTTTATAAAAACTACTAATTCGACCTGGATTAGAATTTCCATACAGACAACTGTCATCTTGAAGATTTATATGGAATTACACTGGTGAATTTGTTTTATGTATTTTGTGTGTTTTGTGCAACATCATTGTTGGCTATTGAATTCTGATGACCACTGATATCAATGACTGTGATTTACTCCTCACAAGACCTTTTCTCTTACAACAATAGTGAACAGATTCAACCTGGATTAATTAATAAACTGAGACAAATTGGGATTTACACATTTAAGAAAACTAAAAGAGGAAGACGTGCTGGAAGAAAAATAAATAATGGAGTTCCAGAAACCAGATCAGTTCACACTGAACAAACTACACCAAACAAAGAAACAACCCCAACCAAATCAGAGTTAAATATTTGCCTAATCAATATACGTTCAGTCGTAGAGAAATGTGTTTCCCTAACCGACTACTTAAATGATCAAAAGTGCGACCTAGCACTGATTACAGAAACTTGGCTAAATAATAAAGTATATTGACCCGTTACTAGTGAACTAAAATCACTAGGTTATAATCTGTATCATGTCCCTAGAAAAAATCGATGGCGGTGGCGTTGGAATTCTATGCAAACATAATCAACAAGTAGAACTTAAAACATCCGAAAATTACAAATCTTTCGAAAAAATGGAATTTATTACTAAATCAGAAACAGAATCAGTAAGATTTGCTCTTATATATAGACCACCACCCACCAGAAAATCCAAATCAAATGTATCTGACTTCTTTAATGATTTTGGAAAATATTACGAATCTTTAATTTTAAAACCTGGTAAATTAATTGTATGTGGCGATTTCAATATTCACATCGACGACCCTGAAGATTCTACTGCTCGAAGGTTTATTGACTTTACTGAATCGCTTGGATTAATCCAGCATGTTAACCAACCTACACATAGTCATAGCCATACACATGACCTGGTTTTCACTGGAACTTGCGAAAAAAACATTCAAAATCTATTCATAACCGACCCCTGTCTTAGCGACCACCATGCTGTTCATTTTAGTTTGCCATTCTTTACAATTCCATCGCATAAGCCCACTATAATAAAATATAGAAAATACAAAACAATCGATGATCAATTGTTTACCGAAGATATTAAACAAAGTCAACTTCTTTCATCAAAAATATCACATTTTTCTTGCTCAGATCTTGTCAGATTGTATAACTCTGAAATCAGAAATATAATTGAAAAACATGCACCCGAAATCACCCGGAAAATGGTTGTAAAACCCGAATGCTCCTGGTTTAATGAAGCTATCAGAGATGCGAGAAGAATAAGACGGAGAGCAGAGAGACAGTGGAAGAGATCTCACCTCACAGTCCATAAGCAAATATACAAAGCCGAAGTGAAAAAAGTAGCTGAACTAATACAAACTACTAAAACAGAATTCTATAGAGAAAAAATCGTGACCTGCGGCAATGATCAAAAGAAAATTTTCCAAATAACCAACAGTTTGCTGAACAGACAAAAATTCGATTCATCTTTACCAACCCATATTTCTACCAGTCAATTAGCCGACCGATTAATCAACTACTTTAATGATAAAATAATGAAGATAAGAACAGATATCTTGGAGGTTCAAGCTTCCTTGACTTCACAAGTACCAACATATCGCGTTACCACATCCGCATCTCTAGATCATTTTGACCTTATCACGGAAGATTCGCTACAGAAAATTATTCATAACACTACTAGCAAATTCTGTGAACTCGACCCTCTTCCGACATGGCTGTTAAAAACTCACATTGATTCATTTTTACCTATCATCTGTTTGATTGTAAACAGCTCTTTGAATAGAGGTATTTTCCCAGAAGAGTTATGCGAGGCTCTATTAAAACCACTACTAAAGAAACCCGGTCTTGATCCAGATCTCCTGAAAAACTACAGACCAGTTAGCAATCTGAGTTATATCTACTACTTGACTACATTGAAAGTAATTCTCTCAACAACGTATTTCAATCTGCGTATAAACCTTACCACAGCACAGAAACAGCAATGATTAAAATAACAAGTGATATTTTCCAATCTATAGACCGACAACAATGCGTTTTTCTAATCCTTCTCGACTTATCAGCTGCCTTTGACACTCTCGATACGAACGACTTACTTGTAACTCTTGAAGAAGAAATAGGTGTACGTGGAGTGGCTCTTGAATGGTTTCGATCATATCTGTCCAAGCGAAAGCAAACTGTTAACATCCATGGTTCCAAATCAGATCCCCGTCCTATGCTCTGTGGCATACCACAGGGTTCAGTGTTAGGACCTGTGTTATTTATAATCTTCACGAAACCGCTGAAAGAAATTGCAGCGCGCTTTGGACTAAAAACCATTTGTATGCCGACGATACCCAGATCTACATAAGTTTTGAAACTAAAAACCAGCTCAGTTCAAAACATTCAATAGAAGCCTGTTTAAATGAAATCCATAGATGGATGTCGACCCACTTTTTAAAATTAAATCCCGAGAAAACAGAATTTTTGATAATAGGCACAAAACAGCAACTAAAGAAGATTGATTCAACAACCCTAACTTTTCAACAAGAAAATGTCACATCTACTCCTACAGCAAAAAACATTGGATCCATCTTGGACTCAAATATGTCACTCTCTGCCCATATTAAATCCGTCTGTTCCACATCTTTTTTTCATCTACATAGAATAAGTCAAATTAAAAAATATCTGACCCCAGAAAGTGCCGAAGTTCTTGTTCATGCATTCATAACTTCTAAGATAGACTATCATAACGCAATACTGTTTGGGCTACCAAAGTATCTGATTCAAAACCGTCAATGCGTCCAGAATTCTGCTGCTCGCCTCTTAAAGATGGGTTCCCGCGTACAAACTGGCTGATTTAATGGTATATATGGACCAAAAACATATTCAAACTAATTAATTTGTCATAATTATACTTCAAATCCTTCTCAAACATTGTAATTGCGAAGGAATGCCCTGCTATTAAAATTCGATCAAACCAGGTCATGTTTACGTCACGTCTTGGGAGTCAGAGGAGAATCCATTGCATACATAAGACGATGCTGTCTTTCATCGCTTACAATTTATTACAAATATCGAATCCTAATTAAATTCTCTGATTATCCACTACCCACGTCTTTTTCCGTCATTTTTATCTCAGAAAGTGTTGTACGTCTAACTCTTCATAAAGTTTATCAACTTGTACATCAAGCGATCAATGTTCGCTTGTGACCTTTGACACCACGCGTGTAGAAGATTTTAATCGTCGGGCTGTTGATTTGGGAAACCCTTACGTTTTTGTCCTGTATACGCTCTATGAGTGTTTTTCGGGGAATCCAGTATTTTTCTAGTAAGATTGGATATCTCTACTGTCCATATATACCAAAATTGCCATACTTTTATTGGAAATAAACACCCGATAAATACTTTTCTGGGAACCCATCTTTAACAAAAACCAGAAAACACCAACACAACTCTGATATTGAAGCGTCTTCATTGGTTACCAGTTAGTGAACGAATAAAATTTAAAATCCTACTCATAACCTTCAAAGCCTTAAATGACAAAGCTCCTGAATACATAAAAGATCTTCTCGTTACGCATGGTCCCACTAGAAACTAACGATCAACGAATAAAAATCTATTGACGGTCTCGGCTGTCAATCTTGAGATAAGCCGCCGTTCATTTGCATACTCGGCCCCAGTTCTATGGAATTCATTACCCTTGTCAGTTAGGCTGGCCAAGTCTGTAGAAAGCTTTAAATCTCAGCTTAAAACTCATCTTTTCAACCAGGCTTATTCTTGTCAGTAGTGAATGACTTTGTTTAAACTTGAAAAAGCGCAATAGAAACTGCCATAAAGTATTTTTGCGCTATACAAATTGAGACTTATTATTACTTATTATGTGTGGAAGAAAACAAACAAAAGCAGATCTGTTACACAAATAATCAACCACTCACTGTTAAGTAGAGCTAAATGATGTCTGAGGTGACCTTTATCAAAATTATCATCTTAATATAAAATAATACCAGAAAGTCAATTATATATTTTGAATTAAATTACTAATCCATATGATTGTTAGCTGGGTGGGGGGGGGGGGGGTATGGAAGATCAAGTATTCTAATGCCTTATGTTTAGATTAAAAGTTCTGTGATAGATTCAAGTGTTATAGTTTTCGATTCCATGTGTTTACGAGGGAGAGAGAAATGGGGATTAACAACCACTCGATCTAAATGAAGTCAGTTTGGGACTAACATATGGTTATGGGTCTATAGTGCTTAGTAGGGGTCTTTAGCAGTGGGAGGAAACCCGAGGACCCGGAGAAAACCCACAAGGTTGAACAGGTGACCCTATTCCATTTCCATGTCACATCCAAGGGGAAACAAAACCACACCACTTGACTCAATGACAGATCTCATGATTTTAAGTGCATGCATTAGACCCCCCCCCCCAAATGTTTTTACGAAGCAGGGTTGTCTACATAACCTCATGGGTTATCTTTGGGCTCTCAGGTTTACTCCTATTGTTAAAGATCCCTGCATGCAAATGAATTTTTATTACAATAACCAAATGACCTGATCATATCCTAAATGACGTGGTCAGTTCCTAAATGACTTGGTCAGTTCCTAAATGACCCGGGCAGTTCCCAAATGACCCTGTCAGTTCCAAATGATCTGGGCAGTTCCTAAATGACTTTTTTTCCTATGTCTTTTTAAGACTAATATTTATGTAATTTTATTTTCAGTGAATTAAATTTACAAGCAAGTTATGCACCACCACCAACCCATTCTCTGCCTGTATCTGGTCATCCAGTTATGTTACAACCTGCAGCTATATCTGTACGACCACAACTCTATAAACCTCCTCATATCATGCATGTAAGTATATTTGAGAGGATTTCACTTCATCTTGTTCTAACAACTTATCTTTTAAAAGGCAAATTCCATAATGATTGATCGACTCCAATTCAAGCTACAATTATGTTTTGTAAATGTTTTTACTATTTCCTATTCTTTAATTGAATTCAAATGTCAAAGATTATCAAATTATGTTTTTAATTTTGAAACAAAAAGAACTATTCATGCTGTCTTAATTTGCTGTGGTCACTGGTGTCATTCACAAAAAAATTATTGACATTATTAGCTTTAAGTAGGAACCAGGGTTGGGGTAATGGTAATGAATGTAGTCAGTACATGGTTTGAAGTAATTGTCATGTAATGCTTAATTGAATATTTCAAAAGTAGTGAGTAATCATCATGTTATTAATTACATTACAATAACAACATATAGTAATGGTGAATCATATTTCACTTAACAGCAGATTCAAAACTAGGATTACGTTATCTTTTCCAATGCCGGATTAACCACGGGGCACCATGGGGCCCAGGGCCCCCCACATTAGAGGGCCCCCACAAAAATCTCAGTTGCGCGCCTCGAGCATGATCAGACCGAGGACTCCAACCGTCGGTGACCTAGTGACGGGGCCCCAGGGACTTCCGATGCTCCGAGGGCCCTCCATCGGAAGTTCCTGGGGCCCCCTCAATCCATGGTGTGTCGCGATCGACATCTGGGAATTCGGTGTAATCCGGTGATGCCGCCTCATATTTTCGACGTTCGTCAAAAATCGAGTCCGGCTTGGTCGTAACGTTACGGCCTCCATTCATCAAATCATCGTGGGGGATATAATACGATTCGAAATCAAGTGACCCCGTTATTTATCACTGAGCGACTTCAAAATTAGGTTTGATGTAGCTCTGCTCACTTACAGTGGCGGATTTAACGGGCTCAATGGGCTCCAGCCCCCTCCACTAGAAATACCAGTCATTTCATAGCACTCGCATGGATTGGTCCACTGAAATAACGCCAGAATGCGCTAATTTTGTGGCAGAATTTTATTTTTTTCTGGGGGAGGTACTTCTAAATGGCTCCGACACAAGTGCCTGAAAATTCCCCAGACCACCCTTGCGGGGCTTCGCGCCTTCAACGCTCGAGGTGGCCTGCACAGCTCCTCGGTCGGTGATAAGGGCCCCCCCACATGTTCCAGGCCCCAGGGCCCCCACCATGGTTAATCCGGCGTTGATCTTTTCTATATATTTTCTTATATAGACATTAAAGCTCTCTAAATCAAACATAAAAATATAGAATTAAAATAAGGGCTTCATAAATAAATAAATATTTTGGGAGAATATTTGCAGTGTGTCAGTGCCCGTAACTGCATTATCATCATTATGATCATTTGAGAATTTGTCATTAGAGATGCAGTATTCTGTGATTTAAGTTGATTTTTATTAGCACACATATTTGAGGCATGAGAACACCCTACCTCAAGGTTACAAGTGTCAAACCAAGCAATCAATTCCAATGCCCTTTAAAAAAGTACATAATTTTATGCTTACATAATATAAAGAAATATTACATATTTAAAGCTACATTATGAAAGATTTAGATATAGAGCTGGCCATTCTTACTATAATAGTTCGGAAATAGATAATGCAAAATTAATTTATTGAAAATTTCATTCAAATTGCTTCATTGTGAGCGAAGATGTTAGCTTTTGAAGGTTTGACAGGATGTGTGCATTAATTGCAACCACAACACTGGTTGTTCGAAGCTTAGCCTGGCTTCGTCATTTTTAGATTAAATCAAAATATGGCTGTACCGTTCTAATCTACTAAATATCAGAGATATCCGATGACATCAAGTGTTGATTATGGTCTTGTCATGTTAATAAAAGTCGAGTTAATAAATTAAATAACATTTTATGCCTTAAGAAAGACCTGCTATAGGCAGATTTAGCTCTTGCATAATGTATGTTTAAACAACAACAGTTTTTATCGCTACAGCTCTTCACTTGATAATTTATGTTTGCTTTGATGTGATTTACTGAAATTGCAATTCAAATAGAGAACAAAAATAATTGTCAATCAAAAATTATTTTGAGTCTGTTTTATTTGATGCGACATCTTAAAAAATTATGGTCACCTTTATGGATGTATGTAAAAAACAAATAAAGGTTGTTATGTATATTGTTGTGTATAATGGGTTATAGTAATTGATTAATTTCAATCTAATTTTTTATGGCAATTATATAACAGTCCTATAAATTTCCTTGGCGTCTCACTTCCTGCGTACTAGAATCCCTTTGCAGTAGCAAAAGATTTTACACCTCAAAACTTTATTCTAGGAAATCTTCATGAAATTTTTCTTGAACACACCTGAAACACAAAAATACATAATTAGTATTTGAAAGATAATTAGTCAAGATTATTTCAATGCTGGACTGACAATAATGGTTGCTATGGGATGACCATTCTGTGAAATTCTGTCATAATCAGAGTGGTCAAATTTGAAGATTTTCAATAAGTGATTAAAAATATCACAACTTTTTAATCCCACTGAAGTGTTAATAACTGATGGTGATATATTCTAAAAAATACAAGACTGATACTGACATGACGAATTTTCAAACAAGTTTTTGGCAAAGAAAAAGTCACACTGCAATTTATTTCAAATCTACTCACTGCTAGAGTTCAAAATCATTAAAAAAAAATGCATAAAAATAAAACAATACAATTTCTATTCTCATGATCAAAATTAACTCGGAGGGATCTCGCTTTTCAAACAGACAGTCGCTTAGTGAACCAATTCGAATAAGAGTACCGTAGCGGGTTATCTCATTATGTCACAAATGTTTTCAGTGCTTCAAAGTTGTTTTCTTTGGTTTTTACGTCATTATAACCAAAAAATGACCATCAACAATCACGAAAAAAAGAATTCCAAGAAAAATGTTAAATATTTTGGGCAACAAATCGATAAACACCTCTTATTAAGAATTTATCAGCCTCTTATATTCCATAAGATACTGCTGAAAGTTTTCATTACGATTTGAATCTCATGATTTAAACGGTATCAAATGAACACTAACAGTCCTCTAAATTCTTAACAGTCAGTGTTTATCTCCTAGTTACCGGTATCTGTAATGTTATTGTATTATTTTATTTCTAATATTTAGCAGCCAGTAAAACGACAGAGATCTCCCTCTCCACCTCCTCATTCTTCTGCTTCCTATCAGACGTATGCTCATAGTGAGGCTAAGTATCCACATAGTTCGTACCCACAACAAGCTAAAGCAGCAGCAGCCCATCCTGCTATATATCAACATCAACAACCTGATTATAGTAAGAGACAACGTAAGTTAATATACTAGAATCCAGTTATTATGACTGATCATGTAAAAGTATTATGTAAGAGCTAAATCTGCCTATTGCAGGTCATTTCTCTAAATTCAAATGTTGTATGAATTATTATTTAGGCATCTATTCACATGACAAGTACATAATCAACTCTCTAGACTATCAGATGGCATAATGCATCTTTAAAATATGAATATCATAAGTTTGATATAATTCAAGGTAAATTATGTGTCCACCAGGTGAAACAACATTTGAAAAATTTTCGCCAATATCTTTCTGTCTGATCTAGTAACGTGCATCACATTTGATGAATATCAGTCGATCAAATGTTTTTGTCTCTGCCTATTTTTAAACTGCAAGAATCATCTCTGGTGGAGTCATTATTGTTGATGTCAGATTTTTGAAGGATCTGCAACCAGAGTCAGATCGTATTTAGATAGCTAACCAGAGTCAGATCGTATTTAGATGGCTAACCAGAGTCAGATCGTATTTAGATGGCTAACCAGAGTCAGATCGTATTTAGATGGCTAATCAGAGTCAGATCGTATTTAGATGGCTAACCAGTCAGATCGTGTTTAGATGGCTAACCATAGTCAGATCGTGTTTACAACAATGGTTTAAGCCATTTGACTCATCTTTTTAAAGATTATTGCAGAATAGTAGAACATTAAACACCATTTCATTCATTCATTCATTTATTCATATAAGATTATCAGTTTATTTATAGCATTATGTATGTTACAATTTTACAGAAGCTGCTAGCTATCCACAGTCCCAGGCAAGTCATGTGGTTTATGCTAATCAACCAGTAGCCTCTTATCAACAAGGTGTCAACTACTCTCCAAGCCAATCACAAGCAGGAAAATACAATCCTGCTAATCCATCTGCATTTCAGTCTTATCCAAATCACTATTCTCAACATCAACAGAAAGCAATAGGTGAAGCCTATTCACAAGGTTATGCTATTCAGAGAGCTCAGCAACCAGGTTAGAAATTATATTATGTTCTACCTGTAAGCCCAATATATGTTAACTTGATCCAGTTGAGTACAATCAAATGATTTATCAAATCCATCAATTACAGAATGTTCACTGAACGATCTAAATTAAGTACTTAAATATGTATGTTCCGTCGCCTGGCTACCTTTCTTTAAATTATACATTATATTTTCAGTTTATATTATTTGACAGTTCTGATTTGAGCATTCATGATATATCTTTCAGCTTATTTAAATTCTCCACATTCAACTAATCTACAACAACTAGAACATCAAAAACCAGCTGGCTTTAATGAAGAAAAGTTTAAAATACAACAGGTCAGTATACTCAGTAAAGAATTATGCCCAGTTGTTGGTGACTTACATGCTATTCTAATCCTTTTGGGGGGTTGGATGGCGGAATGGTTAGCATGTGTGCGCTGTATCATAAGGTCTGTCATTGAGTCAACTGGCAGGGTTTCGATTCCCCGGTTGTACGTGACAAGGAGTAGGGTTGCCTGTCCAACCTCATGGGTTTCCTCCAGGTCCTCCGGTTTTACAACACTGCTAAAGACCCCTACGCGCAAACAAATTATTAAGATAAAATTGAACCATGTGTTAGTTCCAAAATGACCTAGTTTATGTCAAGTGGACCTTAAACCCCATCTCTCTCTCTCTCTCTCTCTCATCCTTTTGGAGGCATTTAGTAACTGGATAGAAGAATAAACTATAACACATACTTATGAAAGAACAATTACTAATTGCTTGAAAACTGTGAGAGAATACTCTTCAAAATGTCACCAAAATAAATCAGTAATTGTTCTTCCACAAGTATGTGTTATAGTTTATTACAATCTATTCCTATCTTAGTTTATGGAGACAGCTAGAGTGAAACAATTAAAATGTTTGATTGAATAAGACCTGATCATGAAATGACATAGTTTGTGTCAAGTGGATGTTAAACCCCCATTTATTGCTCACTCTCTCTCTCTTAAAACAAATAAAATGATTAGACTTTGGTAGTCAGAGTGACATGAAACCATTTCTAATTGACTTTCTTTATAATAGATTATTAAATATAGATAAAGAAGATGTGGGGAGTGGGGCTAAACTATTAAATGATACAGCAAAGTTATTTACTTATAATGTACATGTTTTATAGCCTTCAATACGTGGCATGGCTCCAATGCCTGGACAACAACCAGCTTTAATGCAACAACTACAGTTACAACAACAGCAGCAACAACAACAAGCCCCACCAAAAGTAAATCAGCTTTTTTATTTATTTATTTTTTAAAAATCTATATTTCAGGTGGCTATATTTTGTCCACGACTAAGTCCATTGGCCCAGTCTGCCTATTCACAATTATTGTAACACTCTGTCTGGCTGTGTTTTAGTGATTTTGTAATCTTTTGTGTATGATTGATTAATCTAAAAGAATCATACTCCATATTTAGAGCAGCACAACTATTCCACTGTCACAGACACTTTTTAGGTTACTGTGTTAGAGTGTGCTTTATTATAGAACAGGGGGGTTGGATGGCTGAATGGTTAGCATGCGCGCACTGTATCATAAAGTCTGTCATTGAGTCGACTGCCGTGGTTTAGAATCCACGGTTGTACGTGACAAGGAGTAGGGTCGCCTGTCCAACCTCATGGGTTTTCTCCGGGTCCTCCGGATTCCTCCAACTGCTAAAGACCCCTACGCGCAAGCGAATTATTGAAATAAAATTTTAAAAAAAAACCATGTTAGTCCCAAAATGACCTAGTTTGTGTCAAGTGGACGTTAAACCTCATTTCTCTCTCTCTCTCTATTATAAAACAGTGGTCCCAACACAGTTCAAATAAAATTCATGTGCAGAATTTACAGGTTTTTTTAGAGCTATTTGTTCTCTGCCCTGATAAATCAGTCAGGTTATTTGCAAGGCAGAAAATTTGACTTTACTATACTTGAATTAAAAAAAGAAGAATTTATAGCTTTTTCTCTTAAAATTTAAAACACAAAAAATAAATAAATGAAATAGAGTATAGTATTGGTTTTCGAAGTAAAGCAAATACGTCTAGCTACAACTATGGTGGTCTGGTACAGTTTGTGGACCAAAATTACAGGTGTTTGTTATAAATGATGATTTATTAAAGTAAATGTATATTATATTGTAGGGGAGTATAGTAACAGGTTATCCTGCTAGAACACAAGGTTCATCACAGGTCCCCGTTAGTTCTTATCAACAACCTACTACAGTACAGGTAAAATATTCCTATTATCTTTCTAAATAGACTATTCAGTCAGTTTTATCTTTAATTTTGAAAAACAGGTAATGTTAGGGTTTTTATTTTAAAACAATTTTAGATCATGCTGTTATAAAGCCAAATAAAACGATGATTCTGCTATAAAAAACCTGAAGGAAAATAAGATCTGTGTTTAATCATATTAAAGATGCATTATGTTATAGCTAAATCTGCCTATTGAAGGTCTTTATTTTGGCTTCAAATGTTATATAAATTATTCTTTAGACAATTATTCACATGAAAAGCCCATAATCAACTCTCTAGACAATCGGATGGTGGAGATTTAAATGGATTAAAAGATGGTCACCATTTAATGATTTAATTTAAAATAGGTAGACCGAGGCTAAGTCTCAAATAACAAGTACCGTTGTTATGATAGTAAGCAATCTATGCCACATCTTGTCAAAACTTCAAACAGCGAATGAAGTAATTTGAATGAAATTTTGAATATATTCATTTTGCATTATCTATTGTTAACTAGTATAGCAAGAACTGGTTATTTCTTATTAAATACTTGTATCATTTTTCTTTTTTCACTATCTGTTATCCATTTTTATCTTCCAGAGTAATTTTAACACTCAACAAGGTGGTCGAGCAAGTTTCAGTAATTCGGCTAGATATTATCCCTAAATAGTATATAGTTTTATTTTCTAATTGTATATTACTATTATGTGGCATCTGCATGGCTAAATGTGAAAACTACCCTGTATTGTAAATTATAGATACAAATGTGTACATGTAAATCATCATTTTACTTAGAAATATCTGTATTGATCAATAATCATTATTCCATGTTAGACAATTATCATCATCATCATCATCATCATCATCATATATTCCTCTCTTCGTCGCTTGTACATTGAAATTGTAAAGTAGTGATAACATTGTTTGTTATTGAGTAATTTTTGTTATATTATTTCACTAATCATGAATTAAATTTATTATTGCTATTAGTATTATGCAATCTCAGATTGGTTATTGCTAATTTCAGGGGCAGATCCCGAGGGTGAGGTGTGTGTGTGGGTATGTGTGTGTGTGTGTGTGTGTGGGGGGGGGGGGGGAACCCTGCTCAGCTACATAAAAAGAATTGTAAAACAATACTTATGAGAAAAGTGTCACGGATTGTGTGCTTTATCCTTAATCTTCAGATGGTGGGGTGGAATGGGCATTCAAAGAGCGAGATAGTGATATAGACATTTGCTTTGCATCAATGAAATTGACTCACAATGTGATAGTATTAATTCATAATAAAAATTGATGTCAAATGGAGTGTTGGATTTCTCGCTTTAAAAAGCTCAGTGTGTATGTATGCTTACGTAATTTCGAGACTAAGATACCTTGTCTCAGGAAACTGGCAAACCCCCTTCTGCAAAAATTTCTGGGGCTGCCCCTGATTTTATCATTTTAAATTTGTTATTGCAATTATCTAATTACACAATTTTTAATATTATTATTCTGTAATTGCAATATATTATTGCTATAATGTAATCTCGGATTTGTTCCGACTATTCAGTACCCCTACTTTTAAATTTAAATATAATCATGTAAGTCATTGGCAATAAGAGTCACAGTCTACAATGTCGTCATGATCTGTTTCCAGTCGAAGATTTATCTAATTTATTTGATGTCACAGCTTAGCCCTATTCATTGCTTTTTGAGAATGTGGTTCTACTTGTGATTATATATTCAAGATATACTATTTTTCATACAGGTTTTTTTTTTTAATTCTTTTTTCAGTATCACTATCAGGTGTTTTAAGAACATCTTTCATATAATATCTTTAATTTTAAATTGCTAGAATTGGAATTATTTTATAATGAAGTTCCAAGATTTGTTAAAAAGATATTGTTTTGTGTATAGTATATTAAAATAGCTTGTAAATGTATCTGCTATATTATTTTTACCTTGTAGCCCTAGTAAATATGAGCTCTATTCTACATGTAGAGGCAGGTTATTAAAGATGTACAGAAAAGATTTCTGGTTGTTTTGTTTTGCATATGCCCTCCTGTATTATTCTCGTCCACTCTTTCAAACTGTCTGCTTAGATACATGTATGAACAAAAGTCTAGTTTAGAATTAAACAAAAGTGTAATTTTTCCTCCGATTTTATTGAAACTTGATACAAATATCTGATATCTGGGATGAGATGAATTTGTAAATTATTCACCAATAATTGGAGCAGTTACATCAGCTATATCGATTGTCACAATTTATCCAGTTCTTTGCTCTTAATGGACTTTGTACAGGCCCACATTTCCCTGTGGATGTACTATGTCGGCACCCCTATGCATCCGGACGTCCATCCATATTTGTTTGTAGACCCTCTACTTGTCACGAATTCTGTCTGATTTAGACGAAACTTAAAATATATAATTATATCCCATAGATCTAGGATAGATTATGACCCCCGATTGTAAGAAAGTCATTGTTTTAAGCAGGTGAACCCCCTAGCGGTCACAATTTTTATCCAATTTTCATGAAACTTAAAATATATGTTTATATGCCACTTGAGGTCACAATTTGATTTTTAAAAATTGGACCGAAACTTCTCTTCAGAATGCCCCTCCTTTCCTTTCAGCATATAGTGGCAATAATGCATGCAATACATAATACCAATGTTGAGGAGCCTCCGATTAAGATGAAGCGTGTTAAAAATCAAAAGATTTTGGACGAGTTCGATTTTGGTGCTTATTGGACCTTCCATTTGCGGTTATGTCCCCATTTCTCAGAACCTTGTGAAGGCGACAAAAGCATTTTTTAAAAACAGAATTGTTTCGTGACGGGAGGAATACCGAATCATATTATTTGTTCGCTTGTGGGCCCTCAACTGGTCAAAATAGCGCCTCTCCTTTACTGCAAACCATGTGCTAAGTATCGAGTGGTCTTGGATGAATTAGATTTTGGTGCTTTTCGGAACTTTCGTTCTGGAATTATGCCCCTCGCAAATTAGGCAAAATGTGAAATATATATTAACAGAACACAGTTTTTATGGGAAACAATCACTGGTTTATTCTGAAAGCACGACGTTTCGACAAGTATCCTCTTATCGTTATCGTTGTGATGTGTTTCCCAATTGCTAAATACCACTTAAAGATTATGTGAAATATATAGTTTCCGGAACCTCTTCTAGGTACTGGGTTAGGTAGTACAAATTATGTCCGTCTTAGATGAAACCTAACATGTATTTTAAGAATCAAAAGATTTTGGATGAGTTGATTTAGGGGCGCATCGAACCTCCGGTTCTACAGTTATTTCCCTGCCTTAATTACGCAGAGTGTGAAATATGTACAATTTTTTGTGGATCCCTATTCAGATGAAATTTAACATCAAGACCTTGAATGAGTGCGATTTTGGCGTGCATTGTTATACTCTCTTTTTGGAAAGACCCGAGAACGCGATAAAGGCTATTTTTTTAATCGACCGAAAACTTTGTGAATGCAATGAAACCACAGTTTTTAACAAATCTTTTTCTAACTGGCCCTAAGCATTGAAGTCATGGGATGACGAATCCTATCATTTATCAGCGTTCCATGACCTTCCGTTCCGAACTGACCCATTTGCTGGGAGTCTTCTGACCGCGATAGAAGCTACTTTTTTTTCAACGGATTTATGTCAAATTTGCTGTATATCATTTGGGGTCATAAGATGAAGAACCCTATTGGTATTCAGCGGCCATTAAAATTCCGTCCCGAAATTACCCCCCCCCCCTCCACCAACTAATGTGAAATGTGAACGCGATAGAGGCTACAGTTTTGAACATATTTATTTTTCTGATTCGATGTGTAGCATTGACACAATGAGAATATGAACCCTATTGATTTTATTTTGCATGACAACCGCTTTAGTGGACATCGGTGTTTTTTCACCCTCTATCCGAATTCGAACCAACATGGATCTTTTACGTGTAATACCAATTTGCACCACGGTCCCGATTTAGCGCATCGCCTGAAATAATAAACACACTTTCCTCGTTAACAACCAGAACATTTTATTGTTTGACGTACGAAGTTGATTATACATTCTATATAATGTATACTGACATTACATACGTGATAAACTACACCGTAGTTAGTTTAATGACTGTGTTTTTCTATGACACTTTTACAATTATTAATATTCGTGATAAGTTAATAAATCCAACACAAGTCATTTGTTTAACAAATCAGGTTTGTAATGTCATGTATATTAAATGTCTTAAATATATATATATCGAAATAAAGATGTTTTAGGAAAAAAACCTAGGTTTTTGCGCGTACTTTCCGCTTTATTAAGCTTCTTCAGGCAAATATATATATATTACTATACATGTCGCCATGCACATTAAAGACTTAAGGTCCGCGTCTTGGAAAAAAGCAATAACTGCCCTGAAATAAAGACATGAGTATGAAATTCATTTCATCCGAATCGTAGTTATATACTTCTAATTTCAAGCCTTATAGGGGTCACGCATTTTTAGTCCGGTGTGGCTGAAGAGGGGGAATCGCCATCCGAGCTGTGAATTTATGAGACCTAGTTTTTCTAGACCATTTAGTTGGGATCACGTGGCTAAGTGGGTAAGACGCTGGCTCGCTAGCCTGGAGGTCGGGTGTTCGATCCCTGCATTGGCCGAGAAAGTTCATCCAGATTTTCCGGCGTGGTTCCTCCTTGTCAGTTATCCAGGGCCTGACAAGGACAGCCGTCTAGTCGTTCGGATGGTACGAAAAACCGAGGTCCCGTGTACACATTGGCGTGCACGTAAAAGATCCCTTGACAGTTGGAATTCGATATAAGAGTAGGCCGTAGTGCCGCTGTCCGGGCGAAATTTCCCTCATAGCACACTGTATGCCCGTCTTCAATAGCCCAGTTCGGAGCACAACCCCATTTCATTTCATTTCTAGACCAATTTTTAGCGTAGATTCAGAATCTGTTTGGTGATCTTACGTTTGAGGGGGCCTTTTTCTAGATATGGTGGGTGATGGTCCCATGTCTACAGTTGGGGTGAGGGGGAATGTAATAGACCTGGAATGTGTTTTCTCGTCAGGCAGTCTAGTTGATGTGAGGAATTAGCCAATGAAATGGTCTGTTCTTGACGTTTTCTGTGGGTAAACCCCTAGAAACGTCATCGGTGATTGATTAATCATAGGGCCAAAAGCCGCTCATATGACCCCTGACACGACCTCAGATTACTTTTTTGTTCAGTACCAATTTCGTCATTCCAAATATTAAATTATAATGGTACTTTTCAAGAGATCTGGAAATGTACATAAAAAACCCCACTGTAAATTAGAGACATGTTTAGATATTAGTTGATTCTTAGTCTTCATAAGAAGATTCAAAATCAAAGTTCATAAAATTTGAAAGTGATAAATATCTTCTTGATGGCTAATCAGCAGCTCGTATATATCTTTTGGATATGCTCCAGATACCCATTCACATTGTAAATCTTCATTCCAGCCTTGTATCGCAGGGCTATCTTGTTCGATCATTGGTTTTGCAGCCCGCCTCCATATTGTTTCAACATAATTGTTGCGTTTAATGTACAGCAAAAGACGACTTAACAAGATGGTAATAAAGAAAGAAGGGTTAGTTATTTTTCATCACAATTAAAATTCCTCCAGAATTTTTTTTTTCTAGTGTCATCTGCTGATGTAAGTCGCATTTCACAAACATTTTTTTTTAAACCAGCAATTACGTCACCAGAAACATCATTTGTCTGCCCCAGCTCTTTAAAAATTGCTAGAAAGTTAGAAAAAGGACAGATAGTCATTACCACTGAAGGCATGTAGGCCAAGATATTATCGACACTTTCAATACTAATCTTGATTGGATCAAAAAATATATCAAGATTAGTATTGAAAGTGTCGAGAACATCCTAGACCTGACAACAAACCACGAGGACACCAAAATAGCTTAATTACCCCTCTTCGGATTGCAAATATGGAGGCGCTGAAACAAATTGTATTTTGCGTTCTTGGTCGGGCGAAATAGACATCCCAATCATTCTCCTCGCAAACAATGATCCAAATATACACATTTTGATCGATAATGAAACGGGCAAAGGTAGAAAATATCGCGGAAGACGACTTACATCAGTAGATGACACTAGAAGAAAGATTTTCTGGATGAAAAAATAACAGACATTAATTTTCTTTATTACCAACTTGCCGTAGTGGTCTTTTTCTACATGGCTGGAATGAAGATTTACAATGTGAATCGGTATCTGAAGCATATCCAAAGGATATATGCGAGCTGTTGGTCAGCAACGAAGAAGATATTTATCCCGCTCATATTATGAACTTTGATTTTGAATCTTCTGATGAAGACTAAGAATAAACTAATATCTAAACATGTCTCTAAACATCTCCAGATCTCTTGAAAAGTACCATTATAATTTAATATATTGAATGACGAAATAGGTACTGAACGAATATACTAACGAGAAACCACTTTTAAGCTCAATTTTGAACCAAATAATTTCTGTCCACAAAAACACATGTTGCCCCCCCTCCCCCCGCCAGCCCCAACGGGCACCCAGCCCCTCATAATGGGAATCTTATAAACATTTAGAGATGTTTCATCAAGCTCTAAGAAAATCCATTTCCCGCCAATCCCCCCCCCACACACACACACACGCACACTAGCAACCACCCACCCCACCTCCCCACAAATCAAAGTAGTTGTCCAGGGGCATCATATAAACTTCTTTATCTTTAGAGATGGACAGTCCTACAAATGTATGTTTTATTAATATATAACATGATCATCATTTATGTCAACATAATCACATTTTCCCCCAATTGTAGACATTGGACCCCCATATCTCGAAAACGCCCCCCCCCCCCCCCCAAACGCCTGATCACCACCCAGATTCGGAAAATACGCAAAAAATTGGTCTAGAAAAACTTGGTCTCATAAATTCACAGCTCGGGTGGCGATACCCCCCCCCCCCCTTCAGCCACCGGACTATTTGTAGAAGATCTAGAGGTTTGCTTAGATCAGCAATACCCTCCGGCAAGCTCTGCGAAGCGACCAAGCTCTATAGCACTTACAGCATCCCGTCCATGTATAAGATCTAGCACTGCGAGAACAGGCCAGACAAGTCTTCACGCCTAGTCCCGGCCCTTTAAAATCTAACCAAAAAAAAAAAAACCTATAAAATGTTGGCCGCATATATTATGCATATAGTCTACATGTCACAAACAATGAATTCACTACACTGTTGTGGCTAGCTCAAGCTAACGTTAAACAAATTGGATAACTTCCAACGTATTCTATACTAATTCCCCTTTTCATAAATGTAGTTCGACCCTAACGCTAGAAATAGTAAGAAATCTACGTATTAAATCATATTATCGTTACTTGAAATACCTGTTAGGATCACAATTTCTACATATCCCTTCTATAATTAATTCATTCGAACGAGATACCAACTCGTTCAAACGAGATAACTACTTCGTTCAAACAAGATACCACTTCGTTCAAACGAGATAACTACTTTGTTCAAACGAGATAATTAATTTGTTCAAACGAGATATTAACTCGTTTAAACGAGATAGTAACTCGTTCAAACGAGATACCGATCCGTTCAAACGAGATAATTAATTTGTTCAAAAGAGATAGTAATTCGTTCAAACGAGATAATTAATTGTTCCGTCTGTCTGTCACACCTTTTGGGACACAATAACTCTCCTTCTGATTGGGATAGAATGTTCAAACTTGGTGTAGGCGTTCATTAGGTGAATGCCTTGATGGAGTTCAAGGATGAGCATATATATTTTCACACCTTTTGGGACACAATAACTCTCCTTCTGATTGGGATAGAATGTTCAAACTTGGTGTAGGCGTTCATTAGGTGAATGCCTTGATGGAGTTCAAGGATGAGCATATATATTTTCTGCTTAGGGTAAGCAGAGATAAGCGATTTGATTGGCTGATGCTTTGGGACACGATAACTTTAGTTCAAATTATGTGAGAGGGATGAAACTTGGTGTATAGTTTCATTACATCAATACCTTGACTAAGTTCGATAATGAGTATTTTCTGCTTACGGTAAGCAGAGCGATAAGCAATTTGATTGGTTTGACTTGGGGAACACAATAAATCTGAGGTACAGTGTTCATACTTGGTGTAGGCGTTCATTAGGTGAGGTACTTCAAAACCTTGACTGAGTTTGATCGTGAAAATTTTATGCTTAGACTAAGTATAGATAATCAGTTTGGTTGCTCAATACTTTTGAAAAAGATAAATGTGCAATAAATCAGTATGTGTCATCTCTTAATTTTGTTACACCAGCCTCATTGATGGCTTGTTATATTTTTGAATCCCCAAAAGGTTGGATCGCCGGGGAGTATATAAATCAAAAAGTTCTTTTAAATAATTGAGGATCCAGCGTCAGAATAAACAAGCTGATTAAAATACAGATCTATATTTCGTTTCGTTTTTTTATACCTTCGATGGGTTACACTACACGAAGATCTGACCGGTTATATTGGAAGGTCGCGTCAGAGATCATACTAGCGGCTTTTTACCCTATGACGCCAAACATTTGTTTAACTAATCAGCGTTGTTGTTTCTATTCTGTTACCCACAGTTATGTGCACCTCACGCCAAAATCTCTCCATAGCAACGTTTTATTTTCTTTTTTCTTCAGAAACAATAATACCAGAATACCAGAAGCGCCATCCAAGGAAGACCATCAGCACCACCAACATCAAAAAACAGTGAAATCGCCTTTGTATATAAATCTAATGTATTGTATGTATTTTTAATAAAACTAGGAAATATCACGAACTAACTTTTCATCATCCTAGGTCAGTGCTTATGTGGAGACTTAACCTCTCCCCCAAATTCTTAAACCTAACCTACAATCTCGCCAAAATTCACGTGCCTTAACCTTATTTACATCTCAGCGACCTTGACAAAAGTTGAGCTGGCCTTAACAAATATTAAAAGATGTTTCTGGTGCGCCTAATAGAAGGGAATTTGCATAGTCCATATGAGATGTTATTAATGCTCTAACAACACTATGGCAGAATCAATATTGAGATTAGAGCGTATTCTCAAAATAGCCCTCATTTGAAGGTGCATTTTCCGTATGATATTATTGATTTGGGGAATCGGGGACATAAATTCATCGGTGACATAGCCAAGATTCTTAACCTGCTTCTTTGGAGATATAGAGCAACAGCCGATCTGAATGAAATTCGCTTTAAACAATTTACTGGATTGTGATTTTGATGACATGACAAGAATTTCGGACTTGCTTATTTCTGGTCACCCATCCTCGAATGCCTTTAAGACAAGCCTATAGTCCACGTACACTATAATAAACAATTTCTATTCTATTCTATATATAGACCTGTTTTCTGTATGATAAATATTGTAAACGTTTCTTTATCTTTTTTCAATTCGAGATGTTTTGTTTTCATTTTATCATGATTTGTGTTGCTTTAGATAGGCATTTATAGCAAGATTATGTATAAATTATTTGTCATGTTATATCACTGATACTCTCGAAATGTTATGCCCCAGGTGCACGTTAGCCCTGTTTTCTGAAAGCCAAGTCTGAATGCAAGTCTGTGTGGAAGATATTTGACTGCTTTTATCTTTTTGTTTTGATTGCTGATAGACATTTATGTATAAATTATACACTTGTCACGAACGCTTCCACATTGGGTGATATTGCAAACATGTGTTTCCTAAGAAACTTGCTGCCAGAGAAGCACCATAGTAGGCTTAGTTCAGTCTGGGTAGGAGACGTGAGATTGATTAATAGGTGAAAATAAGACACATTGCCTTTTGCAAGGTAGCGTCCAAGATAAAATGTCATCCAGAGGTACTAAATATTAAGATGGCCCATGTTGCTATCAGAACTATAATATGATCTTGCCGAGGCTAGGTTGGTAGAACTGATTGGCAGCTGGGTCCGTGGGCCGCCTGTCCGACCTGAGATGCAAGTAAGCATTCACCGGACCAGCCGTTGTCGTGCCATACCAAAAACAAAAACGCCCATCTCCAGGACACCCGACGTCCTTCACGTAAGCATGTCCGACTAGCAGTTGCTGTCTGGATGATCACTTATTGAACTTATCCGTTGGGTCTTGGGATAAACCCCAAGTCGTCACAGAGAAGAAAACTATTCTTGACCCCCTGGGGTCAAACACTAAATCGCAGATTAAACACTAAATCGCAGATTAACGCATAGATCTCGTGTCTGCTTACGTTAGGATAGAGTAAGTTCTGAAAACCGAGTGCCATTATACTGTTAATGGAACCCAGTTTATCCGTGAGAGGTTTCCTTTCGACCTAGAAGCGATCACAGTCTACCGGAATATGTTCTGGGGATACGTCCGTGCCACAACCAGGGCCGTATCTAGCGGGTGTGCAGGGGGTACATTGCACCCCCAGAAAAATAAGGAGCCCCGAAAAATGGCGCCCCCTTCAAAAAATTTGACAACCTTTCACTTATAAAATAATACACTTAAGGCACCAAAGAGTCGGTCGGTTTTAATGGCACCCACACGCCAATAGGTACCTGATTCGTTTGCCCTGATCCAAACTTTCTTATATCACTTATGTGGAGGCTATGGAGCGCCACGCGTTTGGAAAACGCGTTTACGGCAGCCTAATTTTCAAAATTTTCTGGGGGACACACACACACACCCACACAGCCACACACACACACATGCACATACCCACACCCACCGCTGCGTGAGCGTGGCGCTCGCGGGCTCCCGCCTTCGCCGGTCGCCGCTCCGCGCTCAGTAACCCGGGCATTATATTGGCGCCCCACCACTCTGCTGCACCCCAACTTTTAAAATCCTACACACGGCCCTGGCCACAACTACACCTTATTGGCTAAACGTTACGATGTCTTAGCGTTTCTTTCACCTTCAGCTTTGTTATTACCCAGCAGATTTTCCTGCAGGATGATTTACAGTTAACTTATCATTTAAGGACTCGTCGGATCTGAATCTGTAAGTGTTGAGCTCCACCAGGGACCTTTCCCATTCAGAGCTGATGCGTACGTGTAAGCCCAACCATACTATTAAATTCGAATCATGCTATGGAGTTCGACACTATGCTACCTACAGTTTCAGGGCGAGCCGTTTTGTTATTGATTATAATTTTATTATTGATTATTTGTTAAACAACATTTGCCTATTGCAGATATTCCTTAAGGCCTTGAATGTTATATAAATTATTGATTAGACATTTATGACAAGACCATAATCAACTTTCGATGACATCGGATTTTTTATTTTAAAAATGGAGAAGCAAGACTAAGCCTCGAATGAATGGTTACGATAAGAAACAATCAATGCACACATCTTGTCAAAACTACCAACAGTGATAACTTGACTCAGAATAAAGTAATTTGAATAAAGTTTCAAATGTTTTTGGCATTATTTATTTTTGAACTATTATAGCAAGGACGTTTAGTTTTTTACCTAAATCTTACATAATCTTTCAATCCCGTTTTAAATCTAAATATTTAATGCTATTTATAGCCGAGAAGAATAAACAAGCGGACAACGCCTATCCGCTTCTCGTGACCTTTATGCTAACTTGTCTGGAATCAAAGCAGAAATGTCAATCAAATTTGAACCAAAACCACACAGGATCTACGACTGTCTATGTGACGGATAAGATGGATAGATATTTAATATATTCATTACGTATATATATTCTTTGTCGGTTGCATGGCAATGACAATGACAGGAAGGCGTAGATATATTTATTACCGAGCCAATTCATCACGATTTGCTGAAGTTTAATACCAAAAAACGAAAGCATATTTTTATTATAAATTTTATAGGTTCCTCTACGTTGACGTGGGCTATGCTTTGCTAAATAGAACAACATTGTTCGAATGACAAGGGAAGAGTAAACACGAATAATTCGCTCTTGGATATATTTAGGAGGATTTCCAGTTAAACGTACGTAATAAGCTTTATTAATTTATTATAATTATAATTAACGGTAACTTTTCTTTACTAACAATTTCAGGTAGTTTGTAATTAACCTAATTATTATTTCCTAAAAATGTAAAGTTTAATATTTTAAATCTTTGAATCGAATTATGATTATTGGTAACGAAATATTATTGAATTAAAATGTAATGTTCGATATTCTAATAAACAAAAAAACCCCAAAAAACAAAACAAAAACAAAAAAATAATAAAAAAGAAAAACCGTTCAAAAACAAAAAATAGCCCAGGGGAAGAATGATCTAAGTCACTTTTTCAATGAACCCCAGTTAATGGCGCCATCTAGTAGCAAATTGTATAAGCTTTCTGTGGAACAATCAATTTCAGGTAAAAACAATCGGAGTCACATCGAACCAAGACCCTTCTGAAATGGCCTCCCGGACAAATACAAGTCCATCGTACCCATTATTTAATCTTAATTTGCCTGAAAAGTTGAAGTCAGTTGTACTAGTAATTATGGTTCGTGTTAAACATCATTTTGAAGTTGTAATTAAACCCACTCGTTGTTCTATTCGCGTCAAGCATTCTCGTCCAAAAATCTGTTTTGCGTTTTATGTGAAAAGACAAAAATGTGACTTAGATCCTTCTTCCCCTGGACTCTTCAAATGTTACCTTAAATACACATGTCTCATTTTATTGCGTATGATCCCAGGTATACACGAGGACAGAAACACTCTTATTGTGTTATTATGTCATTTCTAGCTTTTTTAGCTTTTGTTATTTTTCTTTGTTTTTGGTGCTAAATTAGGTTTGTTAGTAATATATATGATTTAGCACCAAATAGGAAGAAAATAAAAGAATAAATTTTTCTAGAAAAGAGAAAGAACAAAACAGAAATATATTTTAAAAAAAAAAACCCCACACATATTTGGGCACAATAAATATGGCGTTCCTGTCCCCATGTACCCATGTCTATAAGTGCTTGTGATATACAATGTAGTTCATAGTGTTTTGTATTCTCATCATGTTCTGTAGGCTTTCTGAATAAGGATTTTAGACATGGCAAGAATGACATTATGTTCAATATATGTATTTGGCTAACAAGTTATATGTCTATCTATGTTGGTTAAGAATATCTGATTATTGGTTCCTCACCAAAAAACAGTTCTACCAAGTTTGATTACAATCTGGTTAAAATACAGATCCTATTTCGTTTCGTTGTTATAGTTCAAAATTTCGTTTTACTTGTCTTTACTACACTTGGATCTGGAAGACTTGTTATTTAATTCGTGTTCTGCTTGAAATGAGGGGTAAGCCAATCAAATGGTCTGTCGAATTGAGTGTTTGACCTTTTTTGCCCGGAACTGTGGGTAATCCACTAGTAACATCAATGCTGATTGGTTAATCAAATGTCTGACGTCATAGGTCAAAAGTCGGTCTTTTGACCCCTGATGTGACCTTTCGTTATAACTTGTCAGATCTTCATGTAGTGTAGGCCATCGAAAGTATAAAAAAACGAAACGAAATATAGATCTGTATTTTAATCAGATTGGTTTGATTATGGCTAGATGATTACTTGGATAAAAACATGGTGTATCATTCATTGTACGTCTGGACCTTCTTCTAGGTACGCCAGCCAACCTCGTTAACGGTGGCACTTTCGCATTAAGATTGTGGTTCCTTTCCATCTGGATTATATCAGACACCGGAAGTACTCCAAGGGATTTTCACCACGTATCTTGACCCTCTTTCCAAGCGTATATAATAATGAAAAGTGAATAACAACTTGTAGCCCCTCCCTCCCCGGAATCTGCGATTTTCCAGCACCAAAAATAAAATTTCTAGCGTGGTTTTCACCCGACAAATTGAATTCGATTACTGAAATTTTGGTATGTACAACAGTTCGATTCGGCATTATTTTCACGAACTTTACTCTGTAATTAAGCTAGGTTTGTCAGGAAATAAAATAATAAACACTTTAAGGTATTCAAATAACGACAATGCAAGTATTGATAATTAGTTTAGTTACCTATATACAATCTTAGCTCACAAACGGAGAGAAAACAAACATTTGACTTTGTGTTGCTTTTGGCTTAAAGTAGCCAAGTCTTTAACTAAATATCATTCAAAGTCTTCGACATTGAAAACTCAGTTTAAATCAACATTGATGTTGTGATCTTGCCACGAAAAGATGGGCATCTGATATCCAATATTTAAGACAAGGGACTCGAAGAACGAGGCTAGACATATTTCACATATCATGTCAAACGGTGAGAGCATGCGCAATAAATATTACCGGTTTAGACTAGAATAACCTGACGCTAGAGATTGCCATTCGATTGAGACTTCTCGCATATTTCACCGAACATAACTGATTTGAAATTAGAGTAAAAAGAGAAACGATTGAATATAAATCAGTTTATATGCATTCATATTACATTATAACATGTATATGCGTTGCGACACATTTGTATCAATTTCTAGGTCCCAAATGATTTAGCTCCTTTAGTGGTACACTATTTTGCATTTATACCAGTTTTGGGTTCAATGGCCCAATCTGTAATCCATTGTCATATTATTTTGTGTTTAATCTTTAATTAGTTATTCATTTGTGTTGATGCTAATTTTATTTTAAGAATTCTTTAGTGATTTATCTATTGTAATGTTATTTTGTGTTAAACAGTATTCTCTACTTATTTCTCCATTGCAGCTGGAAATTGAGTCCTGATATTGCATTTCGTGTACCAGGAGCTGGCTCCTTGGTTGTAATTTCCCCAAATAAATATCTCGTTTCTCACAGGTAATTTATAAACATTTAAACATCCTAATCTTGCTATAATTGTTCAAAAGTAGATAGATGAATATATTGAAAATTTCATTATTTTTGAAGCCAAGATGAAGGGATGCAACAGGGAGATTTAGCTCTTACATAATGACTCTTTAATAAGTTAAATGTATTTCATTAAGGGGTGATAATCCCGGGTAATGAAATCTGTCTCTAGAGTACGATATTTCAACCCGTAGTGAAAGATGATTTCTTTCCTTGACTTCATTGAGAGTAAAAGGAATAGACAGTCACTTTTATATATTAGAGGTCGATGGCGGTAACGAAAAAACAAGATTTGTAATTTTAAACAGATTTGTGAAATGTACATAACTAATTTAAATTTGAGCAACAGTGCGATTGTCTACGCAATCCATCATCAGACGATACCTTTGAACTTTTCTATTTTAAAATCGTGTGCACGTAATTGGAACTTCTTCTGCAATCCTTTATATTATAATGTATATGCCCCAGGGCTAAAGATAGTTCGACTGGGGTACAGTAATGCAGGTTTAATCAACATGACTACCTGTTCTTTGATTCACACATCAACCAGATTTGTCTTTTAACATTGAAGGAATAATCAAGCAAGATGGCCCATCACAGAATTATAGTAGAATCCTTCCTTCTCCTAACCCTATATCTAACTACTGCTAGGTCGCACATAGTGACTGCCTCATTAGATGGACAGCTCAATGCTCCAACCAATACAGGTACGGTCTACTTTCATTAATTCTTTATTCTTAGAATTTCCTAAAGTTGGATTATTCATGGTGGTCTCGTCACATATAAATCCGCTTTAATTAAAAATATATTCTTATAAAACTTATATATGATTTATATATAAATGGGTAAAATGGAAATATAAATTGTAGTCTGCAAAATTCTCTTCTTTTGAGATCTCAGTATATTGAATATACTTTCTGATTTATGATTATAGACTCTTATAGATATAAAAATAATATTCATCAGAATAGAGATAAAATACAATGGGGTTTAATGTCCTACTTTTCTGTCCCGAATGGACTAATGAAGACGGAGAGGTATGCAGTTAAGATCTGCTGGTCTTCATTAAAATAAGACGTTTGACATTGTCGTTCGGAAAGTGACCATTATAACACAATCATGTTATTCTATGGTTATTAATAGCTACATACTATAAATGTATGTAGCTTGACAAGGACGAACAGATAACTCTGAATGTCAATGATAAAGACATCAACATATCATGAAAATCGGTCTACACCCTTTCTCTAATCTTCTGTATATTTGATCTTAATATAGAGCAAACACTAATGCTTTTATTATAAAGTTTATGGGTGACCTGTTTTGGAGTAATTTCTGTTGTCTGATCAATAATGTTTGCATATCTAAACTTAACGTATGCTGCTTGTTTATGTATTTCTGACAGGTTTTCGATCACTCGATATACCGCTATTTTAAAAAGATTCACAATACACATTTAACTTAACATGATTGGTGTTCTTGATGTGAGTACATCAAACTGTTTTTTTTAATTAATTGCAGGTGGTAGGGAATCTTCGCCTAACCTATTGGTACAGCTACCCACTACGATACAATTGGCCACAAAAGTGGAAAGCGGCAACACTGTTAAAGAACCATGGTCTTCTCCTAATATCGGCAATGCCCTGGACAGTTTGGTTCCAAAAGTCGACTCAAAAAGTGGACAAACATTAGATAGTGTACAGCCACCAATAAGCACATTCGACACTTCATCAAATGTTGTCGAACCACTACCTGAAACCAAAGCCAACAATGGTTACATTATTGGAGGCCCACCGAGTTCCAACTTCAAAACCTACAACCCTCCCGGGACTAATTTTATAATAGCTGTACCTGTTGAACAGGAAACCAGTCCGATTGTTTTGGCTCCTCCCGAAGCTTCTCCAGACTTACCAAATCCCACGATACCAGACAATCAGGTTGTTTCTGATCCTCAAAATCCCACGATACCAAACAATTTGTTGGAGCCAACGGTACCAGTTCAACCAGCGGACGCGACTCAGCCTTCCCCGATTCAAACAGAAACACCTAGCGGTACAGTTAAATCAGAACCAGCTGGATCTGTTGGTTCTGGACTTATCATCACAAAAGACGATCCTTTCCAACAGGTCCCTGGTTCACAGCTGATCGTAATCAAAAAGAAAACACCAGCAACCTTACCCACCATTGTCGTTGATACAGCTCCAGGCGAGAATAACACCGGTGTTGTTGTACCAGGATCAAGTATTATCGTAGCAAAATTACCAGATGCACCTGTGACAACTACGACAACTACGACAACTACGACAGAACGTCCTATTATCACATCAACGCCAAGTGTTCCAGTTCCAAGTAAGTCAACGAATAACTGTTTTGTTATGAAATGGGTAAACAAGGGATTTTAGTAGGTGGGGTGGGGAAGGCCGTTTTATCACAGCCTTACACGTTAGCAACATCACTCGTTGCTGCAGGTAAGTTAATCGTAGAATGACTTACCAAATGCACATTATATTATTTAAGCCCAAGTAAGTTGTAATTTACGTTTTCTACCTATTTGCACACTGGTTTCTGGGTTTTCGTACGGCTCAAACGCGTAGATACGTTTTAATTGGGAGCTACCCCCCCTCACACTAACGCCCCCCCCCCCCGCGAAGTATACCTCTCTCCCCCACGACAAGTGTTATCAGTGACAGGTAAGTTTGAAAGACCTTCAAGGTTCTTCTCGGCTGGATTCCAAAATGGGGGTTGGGGCATGACAGTATCCTAATTGTGCGACAGCACTAGATCCCATTTGTGCAAATGGTGTTTAAATGAGGGGGGTTGGATGGCCGAATGGTTAGCACGTGCGCGCTGTATCATAAGGCCTGTCATTCAGTCAACTGGCGTGGTTTCGAATCCTCGGTTGTACGTGACAAGGAGTAGGGCCGCCTGTCCAGCCTCGTGAGTTTTCTCCAGGTCCTCCGGTTTCCTCTCAGTGCTAAGACCCCTAAGCGCAAACGAATTATTGAAATAAAATTAAACCATATGTTAGTCTCGAAATTACCTAGTTTGTGTCGAGTGCACGTTAAACCCCATTTCTTTCTCTCTGTGTCTAAATGAGGTATCTTTTCATTTCAGGCGTTTGCTTAAATGGTCTTGGGTATGTTTCTCATCCGTCAGAATGTACAAAATTCTACCAATGTGTGGAAACATCCTCTGGCAGTGTTATCGCAACAGAATTTCAATGTCCTCGTGGATTATTTTGGAACAGTTGGGCCCTCTCTTGCGATTATCCAAGAAATGTTCAGTGCAATAACCGTGAGTATAACCCGATTGGTGTAAAATGCCCCCTGCTCTTTGTGCTTGATAATCCTATCCATAGCTCTGGTATGTCGTTGGTTCAGATGCTCGATTCTTGATTAACAGGCTGAAGGGCGCTAGAGGGCAAAGACTTTTAATTTATTCAAATCTTTTAATGGTTTTAGGAAATATATCACAATCCTTATTAAATGCTCGACAAGATATATTGTTTTAGGTTAAAAGATCTATAGCTGGATATCGTTTAAACATGCATTATGCAAGAGCTAAATCTGCCTATTGCAGGCCTTTCTTTAGGCCTGAAATGTTTTCTAAAGTATTAGACATTAATTAACTGATCCAGGCCTTAATCAACTCTCGATGGCATCAGATTTCTCCGATATTAAATAGATTAGAATGGTTCATCGATACTTTGATTTAATCAAACATGGAGGACCGAGACTTAGCTTCGATCAACCAGTACGGTGGTTGAAATTATTGCACACGTCTGTCAAACCTTCAAAGGCTAATATCTTCGCTTGCAATAGAGTAATTTGAATGAAATTTTCAAATTATTCATTTTACACCATCTACTTTCGAACTATTATAGCAAGAATGGCTAGTTCTTTATCTAAATCTTACATAATGTATCTTTAAGGGATCGCGTGTATATGAACCATTTTTATATACCAAACTTTATTTCCAGCACACCGTTTATTAATAGTGTAGATCTTTGATTTGGCGTATTCAAATATTATACTTATTATCCATTAGGTCTATGGAGATACCGTATTGTGTTCCTACTAATTAACATACAAAATATCATGACTAAGGTCGGTGTTTGTAAATTAAAAAAAAGAAGATGATAAAGTACCGAAGCATACCTGGTACAGAGTCATACGGCGACGCCGGTATGGCCCTTCCCCATTTATGTCTGTCTTACTAACTCAAATACATACAATACCCGGTACAGCGTCATACGGCGACACCGGTATGGTCCTTACCCATTAATAGGTCTGTCTTACTAACTCAAAATACATACAATAAATTAAAACAATTTTAATCAGTTTAAAGTTGTTTCTTTGAATGCCCCAAGGCTGGAGTTTAATATGTAAATTTCTAAATTTTATTGCAAAGTATAAAACACGTATTTGGTAATTCTGCACTATTACGTCACATTATGAATTCGTTTATTATCTTATCGTGAAAGCTTGTACATAAATCCTACATTTTTTGTGTTGGCGTTCTGAAGTGCTATTTTTAGAATGTTTTTATAATATAGCTATATAATATGGCGACGAATCAAAACTGCCACCATTGGTGATTTATGTAGGTATTTTGTAAATAAAATTGAGCTCGTGACTTACATTGACATGAGGTAATACACGGTGTCATGCGACATTCAAGACATGTTTTTACTCTTTAAACATTGTGTTATATATGTTAATTTTTGTCTCAAGTTAAAATTATAGATCAACATACTATAAGATAAATAACAATATTTCAACTTTCAGATTTATTAAATACATAAGCTTTTGTATATTATCAACAATTATACATAAATATTTTAGGGAAATTTGATCAGAAAGTCAGTCTTAGTCTTAATAACAACGTCTTATTAAATGAAATGAAATGAGGATGAACGTCTTACTGTTCTGTTCCGACTGGGCTTATGAAGACATCGGGACGTCTTAATAGCAAAGTCTTAATAAATAAGATAGCATAGTAACCTTTAAAGTCCCAATGTGTCAAGAATCACTTGCAAGCTACAATTTTGTGAAAAATGAATCTCCAATAGAAATATCAATTCAAATATTGTTCAAATATTGTTCAATTCCGTTCACTATCCACAAAGCTATACGGAATCGAAATTTCATCGATATGCTTCTCACACTATGCAGTAAGCCCACTGCCATTTTCTTGTCCGCGATTTCTTTTTTAAATTCCAATTGAATCCAAGTCTGGACATTATTTACCATTCGTATTTTGATTTTGTTTTCTTCTATTGAATATTACATAATCAATCTAGGTACACATTAGCGTGGATTAAGCCGTGAGAAATTTGAAATTTTAACAAAAAATTCAAATGGCGCATCGGGACATAAAGCTCACCCCAATACTTCATATCTGACAAGATAAACATTTTTATGTCATAATAGGTGTGTTATGCGGATATGAACTGATTCCTAATTTATTCATTATACGTAATAAGAAATGACCAGAATGTTTTCATTTTAACGTCGCATAATGAAATAAACAAAGTTTACGCCTTGTTGTTATTATCTAAGTGCAATCATATTTTATATAAACGCCCAGTATAATTAGCATTTTTAAATATAGATAGATAGGTGAATACAATTAATTTTGATAGTTTGATGAATACCTTGGTGACAGGTTCACAAAATCGTTTTTTAATTTTGTCTTTCACTAATCACTCTGTCCACAAATTAATTTTACACAGATAACTCCCCCAAGGTCTATTACAAACATATACAATCAATGATTATGCATATAAGCCGTATTATATGTATTCCCGACATGTTTGTAACCAAAACTGTATGCATTTGACAATTGAATTCGATATATATGTCTTTTTTGTATATTTGAATATGGACAACTTTTAAACCCGTTTCACAGAAAATCCCCCACCCTTATATTATTCAGGTATACACTCATTCCTTGGGACAATTTATATGTAATTGTTCAAATGAGGATAAAAATCGAATTTGGTATTCTTATTATTTCAGACCCATGTACGAAAACCAATTCGAGATATGCACCGATGACTAATAAATGTAATGGATATTGGTTGTGTAAAACAGGGCGGGAACCCAGGGCTTACTGTTGTCGGCGTGGTACAAGTTTTGACGATAAAAGGCAAAGATGTGTTCGAGATAAAAAATGTCGAGTTAAATGTAGAAGAGTCAGTAGCGAAGAAGATGATAGCGATGAGGACGACGACGATGATGATGATGATGATGATAATGATGATAATAGCGAATCTAACGAATCTAACGAATCTAACGACTCAGAATCAAATGAGATTGGTAATTGATGATTAGCTTAATTTAGAATAAAATTCAATAAAATTGATCTATAAAAGAGCTAAAAATCTGATATTTTTTGTAATATAAACCTCTTTTAATTTGCATGCATCACCGCGGATGGGCCCTAACGGTTTTAAATCTACAATAAGGAATGATCAAACCATTAATATTATTGACCTGTTTACCTTACATAATGGCATGCCATTACTAACAATTAATATTTACCCTATTGTGAATTAAGTCATTGTAAAGTCAGAATGGACTATTCCAGTATCTACTAATTGAGATGTCAACCCTCACATAATAAAGTTCTTTTCTTTTTGTGTATTAAAAAGCTTTTCACTCCTTGTTTACTGTTGACGTCGCACATATATATATAAATAAAAAAATCCGTCCAGATAAAAAATTCTCCACTTTACTTCATTCTGGCATACATTAAATCATATAAGCTAGCTGTCTGTCTTCTATGGGCGTCTTCAGATATTAGGAGTTTACTTCGGTGCATGGTTGAAAGGACACGCCCCTGTATTTTTCGAGAGGCTTTAACTATTAACCCTCGCTACCCCGACCTAATAACCCCAACCCCAGTGGTTGTGGATACAGTTGCTACCAAATCCCATATTTCATTTTAATCTGTATTTTAATGAAGTAAACTCTGTTTGGTCTAGTGGTTTAACGAGTGGTGGTTGAGTCATAAGGTCCATGGGTGATCAAGTCGCGTGTTTTCGATTCCCCGCTTGTACGTGACAAGGAGTAGAGTACAATCTGGTAGGTTTTTTTCCGGTGTTCCAGTTTCTCCTCATACTGCTAAAGACCCATACACCCATGGAAATATTCAAATGAATTTGAACCTAGTTTGTAGCCTCTCTCTCTCTCCCCCCCCTCTCTCTCTCTCTCTCTCTCTCTCTCTCTCTCAGTGTGAAATATCAGTTTAAATTGGACCTTATTTTTTAAAAAAGTATTCCGGTTTATTGATTGCGACTACAATTTGTTTGAAAGATTTAAAAACAAATTTTGTATTTTTGTCTATTTTTATAAATCTTGTTTTATGATCTGTTATTACACAGACTTGTTGTACGCGAGAATGTAATCAACATTTAGAAATATCACTAATTGGAACATAATTAGTATGCGGGCAAAGCGTAGCGGCACTCACCATAGCCTGAGTGAAAGCAGCGTGATTAGGATCTTCACGAGGTGTGTACATAATTCAGGGAAACACCAGTTGGGCTCTTCAAAAGAAATCAAAAGATAAATATTTATATTTAGTCAATTTAGGCCTGTATTGTAATCAGATTGGCAATTTGGTGACAAATTCGTACAATGCGTTTTAATCTTCGTCTTATGTTTGACGAACGTCGCGAACTCGACAGAAATAATAGACGAAAACGTGGATGCGGGTATCAATTTATATGGCAGTGGTCGTACAACAAGAAGGGTCCGAGTCAAAGAGGCGAAAAACTTATTTTAAAATAGCAGTCTTGTGTGTACCAATCTCACTATCCAATAAAGGACTACTCGGAAATCTTAGTTTTCTCTGTCAACTGCTGTCACTTGTGAAGGACGTATTTGAACCTAGGTCGCATGGAAAAACTTCCGTTTGGAAATGAACAAAGGTAGGACAATCTATTTCCGGAGTAATGTGTCAAATATAATGAAATCAAACGTTTAGTTTGTGGTTTGTGTGTAGATTTTAAAAAGGTTTAACCTCTCTCTCTCTCTGGTGCCTAAACCCTTATTTCTCCAACTTTCTCTCTTTCTATAACAATTTTTGTTTTTGAATTGAAGTGTTTTGCTTGTTATATTTCATACTCATCATATAAATTTTATTTTTAAAGCTGAATGTGACAAGAGAGCAGCATCAGATGATGACAGATTTTATGAACACAAAGTTCCTGGTAATAGATGGATAAGAATGCCGTGCCCTCTTACCACAGCTTTCGATATTAACACCTGTGCTTGCACCAAAATAATCACAACACGTCCATCCGAAAAACGCCCATCATTCCCGTCTCCAGGTATTATTAAACTCAAATTATTTCGCGTTAAACGTGGAAGAGTGTGGTGAGTGATCAGAGAATCCCTGTGGGTATGATAAGTTCCGCTTACGACCCATAGGGTTGTTGCTCTGGAAGAAGGATCATATCTGTATATAAATATATACACGCCATTGTATTTGAAAAGTCTTGTCGGTATGTAATTAAGAGTTTCAAAATAATCTAACTATCCCCTACCATCACGTGCTAAACTGTCATTGTCAAAACTTTATTATATATATATATATGGTTTATCACTTTCAATTAGGTAATAGGTTAAATGTTATTAATTTTACATAGTTTCATATTCTAGTTAAACATACATTATGCAAGAGCTAAAGCTGCCTATTGCAGGTCTTTCTCTGGGCCTGAAATGTTATCTAAATTATTAATTAGACATTAATTAACTTATCCAGACCATAAACAAATCTCGATGCCATCGCTAGCCTGTGATGTTTATTGGATTATGTTCCGATTTCCTGTTCGACTTCCATTCATAATTTAATCATGAAATGAATAATTTTAGACTGTTTTTTTATCGTACCAATTTTAGTAACGATGATCGAGGCTAGGCCGAAAATTCAATCGTTAAAATCTCGGTTCAGAGTGGATCAAGTAAATTCCCTTAACATTATCTAGTTTTTAACTATTATAGTGAGAACTGTCAGCTCCTTATCAAATCTCCCATAATGTATCTTTAACTGCAGATTCACGAACCTCTGCGGAACACCCGGAACCCCACTTTTAAGCTTTGTTAATATATTCTGACTCGCATCTACGAGTAATGTAAAACGCGGTGTGGTTAAACCGTTATAATATACCAACACAAACTGACAAGGTAGTAAATTGATTGAATGGTAACAAGCATTTTATTGTTCAATCATCTATCAACTATGTTGGCCCATAAGCTACATTAAAATAATGACATATACAAATATCGACAACCAAAAGCGCTCCAATAAAATATATATTACAATTACAAAATATATGTTTACTTCCCAATTTTACAACGTATTTTATTCTAACCAACATTATTGCGATATTCTGCCAAGAAGAGTTCTTTCTATATTCGACAATCCTATTTTAAATAAAATGGTTATAAACTCTCATGTAAGTTTTTCACACCGTCATTGAGTTGAGGCAATCCTGCGTTGGCCGAGATAGTTCATCGGGATTGTCTGACGTGGTTCCTCCTTGTCAGTGGTGCAGGACCGAGGACCTGACAAGGGACAGCGTACAGTCGTTCGGATGGGACCAAAACCTGAGGCCCCGTGTACACGTTGGCGTTCACGTCAACGATCCCTGTATGTCGTATGCCCGTCTTTATTAGCCCAATCGGAGCAGAACAGCAGGGCGTTAAACCACATTTCATTTCATTAGTGAAATTTCTATTGTTCCTTTTTCACATAACCTCTTTAGGGCAATAGTGACGCAGTCCTAGGTTGTATCTTGGTTTTATCTATTATTGATTAATCAGTACATTCATTATCATAAATTATATATCCCAGTGTCCATTATAACAAATGGAGATGACCGTTTTAAACTTGGCCTGTGGCAGATCCTGGTTCGTTTCGAATATATGAATTCAACAACAGTGTCCTTAAGATTGTTAGATGATATAAAATAATAGTTTAGAACAGTTCTAATACCGTTGGGTGGGTGCCGAAGAGTCTAACGCGTTCGCTTTATATCATAAGGTCTGTCATTCTGGCTGGTACGTGACAATAAAATATTGAACCATATGTTTGTTTCGAAATGAATAAGTTTGTGTCAAGGGGACGTTATACCACATTCTCTCTCATTATATAATCACAAGCACGTTTTGATTTTTGTTCATTTATGTGAATAATTTCTTTTCCCTTTTACATGATATTTCTAACAAACTGTGAAAAGCAAGATGTGAAGTTTTAAATATGTGTTCACGTCCTAATATCTACATCTTTCTTTCCAGCAAAACGATGTGAACCAGAACTCAATTTGTCTTTCAAAAGAGGCGTCAAGGATAATTCTAAAAATCGTCACTACATTGAAAATAAAGGTGTCTTGGTTAGGAACGGATTGGCAGTTTTCAATGGCGGGAGCAAACTCCAAGTGGACCGTTTTGCTAATTCCCCACTGGGTAGAAATTTGGAGATAGAACTTATGTATACACCATTTAATAGAAATAGGAAACAAGTTTTAATAAGTAATGGTGATCGTGGTGTAACTCCCAGTGTCTATATATCGACGGGATCATCGGCAAAAACACCGTATATTACATTCAAGCTAAGAACCGTCCGACCCCGTAAAACAACGACGATTAAATTGCCTATAGTTTCGGTAAGTATACCAGGAATATCAAAAAGATATTACTTTCGTAAGGAAACCTCTTTCTCAAAGAAATCCCATCTAAAAACGCTATTACATTCTCACTCAAAGAAATCCCATCTAAAAACGCTATTACATTCTCACTCAAAGAAATTCCATCTAAAACGCTATTACTTTCTCAAGAAACCATATCTATAAACAGTATTGTTTTGACACAAAACGCATCTGAAATGTTATTACTTTTCAAAGAAAGCCCAGTTAAAAACACTATTGCTTTCCCAAGAAACCCCATCTAAAAACGTTATTACTTTACCAAAGAAACCCCATTTGAAATGTTATTACTTTACCAAAGAAACCCCATTTGAAATGTTATTACTTTACCAAAGAAACCCCATTTGAAATGTTATTACTTTCTCCAAAAAACTCTATCTACTACTTTCTAAAAAAAACTCCATCTACTACTTTCTCAAAGAAACCCATCTAAAAACATTATTACTTTCCCAAGACACCCCATCTAAAAACGTTATTATTTGACAAAAAAAAAAATCCATCTGAAATGTTATTACTTTGTCAACGAAACCCCATACTAAAAGGTTATTGCTTTTCAAAGAAATAAACATTTTTATTTTCTCAAAGAAATCCCTTTACACGCTGTCTGAGGATCATTTCGTGGTCCTTATTCTTTTACTCTCAACTGTATGGAAGACCAAATGGCACAATATTCATGATTCTTGTTTCTACATTCTAGTTTGAGCATTTTAGACACGAACGCAACATTCTAAACTAATGATTCTTGTTTCTACATTCTTATGTCAACATTTCATGCACAAAATTAACATTTTAAACAAAAAATTGACTTTATGTTTCATTTTCGGCGTTTTATCGGTAACTTTTATATATCCTTAAATATTAAAATTTAAAAATTATTTCTTAATTTTACACGACAAAGAAATCAATTCATTGGTTTCTGAAAGTATCTAAAAAAATGTCCTAATTTTTCTAGCTGTTTAAATTATAGAAGTTATTTGTATTGTTATTATATCTCGGGCTTAATTTCTGTTTCATGCAACTAATTACTGTAAACACAACAGGGGTCCACTTCCACTCGTGGAAAAGTCTATTTTTGATTTCTAATCTATAGTCTGTATCAAATTTGTACACATACGCTAACGCCCTCTGGTGTAATAATGTTGATAATTCATTATATTTTTCTGGACATTTTCATTTCAAGATTTAACTTCAAGACCTTTTGAAACGTAGAAAATATTTTCATAAGAGTTCAAATTCCAGATTTGTTTAGATACTTGTCTAAAATTTCAAACTGGAATGTAGAAACAAGAATCATGAATATTGTCCCATTTGGTCTTCCATACAACTGAACTTGATTGAACTTCTTATTCCTTAAATAACCCACTAAAAACATAACAATATGTCTTCTCAAGATGATGAAAAACGTCACTGAAATTTATACTAGTTTAAATCTTTAAATCTTTGAGAAATACTACAATATTAAAACACTTTATTATTATCAAAATAAAATAATATTAAAATATGAAGTGCACCACTGTGTTCAACACACTTTTAATTAAAATTATTTTTTTTGATTCTCGAATGAAGGCATTAAATACGTCATCTCAAAAATCACACCCAGGTTTAAATCGCAGGCAGATTTAAATCAACTTGAAATATAACAATACTAAGACTATTCAACTTGTCTTTTATTTTTTAATTTTGCAATAAGAAAATAGTACCGCTGCGCCCAACACTATTTTTATTGAAGTATTAACAAAATATGACAAATTAGGTTGTTCATCAAGTATTTGAAATAATTTTCTCCTATGTATTCCCGGGGGCGTCAGTAAAACATTTACTAAATTAGCAGAACTTGGATAATTGAATAAAATGGTAAACAACTTTTACCAGGTAAGCATTGTTAGTTTCTGTAACAAAACGACCAGTCAAGAAAACCCCTGAGTTAGTTAAACTTCCAATTTCTAATATTAAACATTGGATATCATCATTTTGGGAACGGTATCAACTATTACAAAACCTTAGACGATTTGTTCTTGAGGTAGTTGTTTAAACGTGTAAACGACATTATAAAGAGTCAACAGAACTTCTTCTGGAGCTCACATCCGAGAAGGATACCGTATTTCGTCTTGAAGTTCTTCTATGCGATATCCTGGGTTCACCCGCCCCTTCAGTAGACCGAATATTCACACTGACCCGTCTTTTTAATTCCGGCGGGCTTTTGTCTCTTGCTAAAAATGTTTTCGATCGAACTAATTTGAGTTGTCGCTCACACGATTCTTCACTGGGCAGACGGTAACTTTTAATCACACTCTTATGCCTCTTAAGCAATTTCTCTCGTTCGCGATCCTTCCATGCTTGATACTGGGCCTCGTGTTGCTTCAGCCATATCTCTGTTGGTGGGGTGCATTTGTGGATGCTCTGCTGTTCTTGTTTGATTCCTTGCGTCGTATGTCTAGATGACCGCGTTTCTTTGTCAAGGATTTTGTCTAGTCGTAAATTGGACAATTCTAACAGTTTATCCTGTGCTGAATTCATCTGATGACTTTTCATTTCACGATTAATTGAGTCCTTTTGAATTTGTCTTTGCTTATGACTTTCATGACCGTTAGCACTGCTGTTGACGTTCATGTTGATAGGTAAATCGCAAGTCACTACCACTCTGTACTGTAAGAACACAAACTAAATAGTGAAAAGTATGGTTAGGCATTGTATTTATATACTTATATTGACAATGTAGATACAAATATCGGTTAGTTGATCACTAGTATAGATCGTCATATCGAAACATTTGTAAAGACACACTTCTTTATTTATTGATTTATTCGTTGGGGTTGTAGGTGCAAAGATTCATATTGTTCTAAAATAATAGACTCTTTGCATGATATGATTTCCTTTATGCTTGACGAGACCTCAATCTGTGGAAAAAAAGTGTTATTCATAACAAGGGCAAACTGGTTTAATATATGTTTAATATATGTTTAAGTGGCGTGTTGACTGTGTTAGTGAACCGATCTTTGGAATGTATCAGTATTTGAATAACTATATTGTTACTATTCAGTATTGTTGTATAATTGTTGTAATAGTTAGTATTTGTACCACAAACAGTCGTTTCATATCTTTATCTCTTTTTGATATATTTGTTTACAAGGAAAATACAAAATATATTTTCCAGATACGTAATATAATCTTTTATTATCTATTAGTAGGTGCAGGGGAACTACACATCACATCACGCTACACAAACACCAATAAACAATATTTTAACCTTTTATTTCCATATTGACATCAAAAATTTTAATTAGACCACAGTGAGAAAATATAACTGCCATCAGTTATTACATCGACCACGAAGAGTATCATTTTATAAGCACAATATTCCAGACTAAAGGGATGGAAAATATAGACCTTCAGTTGATAAACATTAAAAGCTATTGATTTCATTACGCCAACTCTTACTGTCATAGGCTGCCTGTCCTCTACTGAAGAATAATGTTTTCTATGCATGAGCATCGAGATCAAGATGGCATTTGACCTGGTGGGGAGGGGGTGGGGTGGTCTGGGGGTGTTAAAGTTATCCAGATTACCATCTAAAGTTCAGTTCTTAAATCTTTTGTGCTAAATTGAGATAAAGTAAAAACCTAATATTCGTCTAGCGCACCGGGTCTTTAAGGGTATCCGATCGTGTTATCTCCAATGATCAAGAATAGTTCTTACAGCATTGATATACTAAGAACACAATCCTAAAACTCACTGCTATGCACAATACGTATATACATGTGCAATATCAATTTAAAATAATTCAATATTGGGAAATAACAAATAGTCCAAATGGGCTGAATACAACAAAGGTAATAAAAACCAACGGGTAGAACAAATTGTAGCATCCCTATTCGTTTAAGATGAAGTTTCGCGAGTTTGTCTTGGTGAGATTGGGTTAAAACAATCCGAAATGTTTAGTGATTATGTATATACGTAGTTCATTATTATTTATTAAATTGTCCACTTTTCTTTCTCTAGAAATCTGGTCCTATTAATGTTAAATTAACACTCAAAAATGGTGTTTTTACTGGGACAGTTGATGGTCAAAGTAGATCGAAAGATGGATTTGGTAAGTTGATATTATCAATCTGTATTGTATTAAAACAAAATCGTAATTCAACCAGTTATATTATTCATAAGTTTTGTTAACAATTGTCTAAAATATGTATTATGGAGCACAGAGTTTCAACCTTTATTATAAAGGCCGTTTTAAGAGTGAAATGTTAATGAAAAATCCATAGTCAAATACAAAAATGTTTCTTATTTATTTTTATATTTTCAGGTGAAATTGCTGTCGCGAAAAGTGGTCTTGTTATAGGAAGTGCTACACGCAAGAATAAATTTAAAGGATATTTAGATTATGTAAGTCTTTGGAACTAAATTTGATTAAAACTTCTAATATATAAAAACTCTCAAGAAAACATTTTTGTTATTATCGGTGTGGGGTAATACTAAGTTCTTCTACTTGTCCATTATTTTTTATATTACTTAAAGACAACCTGTAGGATAACTACGAGGGGTCTGCATAATATTGTGAGGATCCCTGGTTATTATCCCACAAATTGTTTTTAAGATATATGAAAAGATAACGGTCAAGTAGAAGAACCTTGTCTTACCCCACACATGACTTTATGGAAACACAACAAAGGAAAAACTTCGAGATCTTTATCTAAACTTTTGTCCAGGTTAATGTGTATAGAATGCATGATATACGAGCGCTTTGTCAACCAGAGAGTAACATGGCTCAGTGATATTAACATTTGATAGATTTGATATTAATACACCATACAGTATACACTGCTATTCTAAAATATGCTTAATGTTAATATAGAACAATGACACTGCGCATCGGAACACATTTTTATAAATGATTTTATAATAATAATAATGTGCTGAACAATGTTCGTACACTAACTATAGTCTATTTCTGTAAATAGTTTACACGGTCAACCAATCAATCATAACATGTGTAACATTCATGTTTATGCATGATCTTAATAATAAATCATCATTGTCAGAAATATAGTCCAGGTTATTGAGACATTTTTTATCTGCCATTTGTTACTTCCAGGTCAAGATGTACTTTTGTGACAGTCAACAGAAATAGAATAACAAGAGGACTAGGCGCCTCTATCACAAAATCCGCCACATCACATCTCATTTCCCAATATGGCTTTCATTATGGCCACCTTAGCCCAAGAGCTCGTGTTAGATGTCTGAATGAGACCAAACATTTATTTCAGAATTATGATAGTCATTTATTTATATTTAAGATTTGAATTAATATAAAAGAGAAAGTATACATATAATTGTCATTGCTTTTCTGTATAATAACATATTTTTGTATATTTTTGTAATTGATTTGATGTACATGTATTTTTTTTAGTTAGTATTAAGACAGTTCGCTAGTGATTAAAACACTTAATAATAATATGTCATAACGCGATGTAAAGGACCATAGTTTGGCATACTTAACTGCTATTATTTAGCGAATCTAACCATGGTATCTCAAAGCTTAAAAATGTATATATATATATATATATATATATATATATATATATATATATCGATCCAATTTAACATGTCTGACACAATCAGTTCGACACGTTGCTTTTTGAATCAAATAATTACTTATGATTCTGAATATATTTGGCAGTAGATTATAGTATCTTATTATTATTTTTTTTAGAAAATTGTGTGCAGATTTACAAAATTTCCTTACTTTCAATAAAAGAGAAAGATAAAAGTGTATTTACGTATTTTATGTAAGGTCATTATAAGAGAGAGAGAGAGAGAGAGAGAGAGAGGTTAACGTCCACTCGACAATAGGCGGAAACCGGAGTACCCGGAGAAAACCCACGGGGCTGTTCAACAACTAAACAGGTATGGGTATATTTACTTGAGGCACGCAAAAAAGTTATTTTCTCCCTGGAAACATTGGCAATTTACAGGCTAAATATGAAGTCAGAATTGAGTTTCGGAACCAAGAAACAGAAATAAAATATTTAATATCAGTGGTTGGGGTCCGATTGTCGTAAACAGTCTTATGAATAATGAGAAAAATGGGCTGTTACTGCCCTGGAGTCAAGTGGCGTGGCTTCGATGACAAGGATTAGGATCGCCTGTCTGACCTCTTAGGTTTTCTCCGGGTACTCCTGTTACTTCTCGCTGGTAAAGACCCCTACGCACAAGCCTAGCCCTCTCTCTAATAAATTAGTCCAGCTTCGTAATAATGACTTCAAATTTTTTCTGAAGCTGTCGATCCCAAATGAAACTGCTTTAATCACGACGTGTTTCTTTTTGAATAATGTCGTGAGTGTTTTCCAGAGGTATTTTTAAAAAAAAATAATAAAAAAAAAATGACTATACAGTACTTAAATCTTCTTCATACAATCCATTACATTGACAGCCTGATTTTAGCCATTCAAGATACTTTGAATAACATAATGAAGTTTATAAGTGACGCTGCTCATTAAACCTTCCCGCACAGATAAACCAAAACGTCAGTTATGTGGCAATGACCTACATAAAGACATAAAAGAAGAATACCTCACAACATACCAGAATAAACTGGATATAAAACTATCAGCTACGTGTAACAGGGCAGCTCTTGCAATTTTTCAAACGAAGTACAAAGATTAAAATCATTGGTTGTCACCAGTGTCGTGCATACAGTGGCGGACACAGGATATTTGGTTAGATTGGCATTGAGGCCTCCCGAGAAAATTTTGAAATTGAACCATCGAGGTGTCACGGGTGATTTGTGGCGCATATGGGAACTCGAATAAAACATTCAATTTCATCAGCTACATCACCCAAACAAACAACATACATTCCATAGAAAAATAAGTGACTTTCTATACTTTTATTTACGGGGTTGGGATTGACCGCCATAATCCCCGTCTTAATGGACCACATCTAGAAACCTTGTGCTTGTCGTATTGTTCGTACGGGTTCAAAGGAACACATATGTTTGTAGAAAATAAGATGCGTTTTATTGCAGGCCCGACGGGTACTCGTTTCTCCAGATTATTGCACGCACGTAACTATTCAGTTACTGGAAGAGACCTGATTTTAATATCTAGAACTAAATAGAACGTAGACATTCAGAAGAAAAAACCCGGCTATTCACTATACTGACCCCTGGGTTAATAGCCCCCTAGTTGCGAGGGTCGCGATTGGTTAACTTTATTAAACAGTCAAATATTTCATTCCATCTCATTTCGGTGTGTCTATGACATATTGGCTAAATATAGCATGGGCTAAAGGTCTAAAATGAAAGGCTTCATGCGTACCAAAATGAAACTCATCCAAGAACATTTGATCCTCAACAAATAGTTGAATTTTTATCTCATGAATCGGACAAAAATTGTCGCCCCTGGGAGGTCCACAAACTTCATTCATATTTCATATTTTGCGTAAAAGGCATTTGACATAACTCAAGAACGGAAGGTCCGATGCGCACCAAGCTTGAAATCCCCCAAGAACTAGTAATACTTAAACACTCGTTTAAACATGCATTATGCAAGAGCAAAATCTGCTTATTACAAGTCTTTCTTTAGGCCTGAAATGTTATCTAAATTATCAATTAGACATTAATTAACTTATCCAGACCATAATAAACTCTCGATGTCAAGGCTAGCCTTCGATGTTGGCTGGATTAGATTCCTATATGCCGCTAACGGCCATTGATAATTAAATCAGAAAAAGTGGATAATCGAGACTATGCTGTTTATATTAATGATTTTAGTAATGATGACCGAGACTATGCAAAAATTTCACCCGCTTCTTTCTCGGCTCATAGTGGATCAATTTGACTGAAATTTCCAGCAAATTACCTTTACACTATCTAGTTTTTAACTATTTTAGCGAGAACTGCCATCTCCCATAATGTATCTTTAACTTTCAACGAAATCGGAAAAAAAATTGTTACAACCTTGGTATTACTTACTTTTACATTATTTGCGTAAAGGGGAGCGGCCATTTGACGGGAGGTTTCGGTCCGATTTTCAGGAATTCGGACTCAACCATAATTATGGACACGGTGTTATATTTGAACGATTTTGAAAATAAGATAAAAAAATGCTACCTCCAGAGGATCCACAGGCTAAAAACTTGATTTTTCTTACAATCAGGGTCCATAATCCAGAAAGTAACGGGCCGATAGGCGCAAATCGGAAATAAATTGTGACCTCTAGATGGTCCACAACAGAGCGACCTTCGGTTGCACGGATTTCCGAACTATCTGCATGCGAATGACCAGCCGTACCATACGATAGAGCACGGTCGAGAGAGTTCAAAGATGGCTGAAAAGACAAGTGTGTAGATTTGTCTAAAAAATATCATAATATTGTCAATGCGTTATTTACACTATGGATCGTATTTAAGTGTTCATGGTAACACCCGAAAATATAGAGAATATATATAGGCCCACGACAGAAAACTTTGTGAAAACATCCATGTTAGCAGTTAACCCGGGTGGAGTCAGCTTGGTAAGAAAATGTTTTAAAAGCATTTCTTCATCCTCATCGTCAAAATATACTTTTGAAAATGAGTAAATAGCAGAAAATATAACAGGCGAAACAACTGACCATGAGCGCCAGCGTATTGAATAGCCAATGGTCCGGTCCATTTGCGTTCCGGTGTTGGTTCAGACTAGTCGCGAGCACAGTTTACATGCGAAGGTCGCCCTGGGTATTATATGCTGTTACACCAGTGGTTCTCAACCTTTTTTGCCAACGGCACACCTTGGAACACATACATATGAAAAATATTTGAATTTTGCAAAATAAAAACACGGCATACAACCGTAGACAGAGACTAGTCATAGACACACAGACTCGAAACTAAATAAAGAAAATACAGCTATGAACTTTTCGGTAGACACCAGTGAATACTCAATTGGGATCATGTGGTTTTTCGCATTTTCTTAGTGTGCCGTTCAAAATTCCGCGGCACACTTATGAAGATTTCGCGGCACACCTGTGTGCCGCGGCATACTGGTTCAGAATCACTGTGTTACACTATTTGCGTAAAGCGGCCATTTGAACTTTGAACTCAGCTGTAATGATGTAACTGTGGTATATTTGAACGGATTTTACAATCAATAAAAAAATGTGACATCTAGAGGGCCCACAAGCTAAGGGTGTGGTTTTTCGTACAATCAGGTATTATTGTACCTTGGTATTATTATGCATATATTTGTCCAGTTCAGCATCACAGAAAATCACCATCGTCTGCAGTGATTTCATGGTAATGGATTAAAAAAACATAAAAACTTCTGTGCTGTGTAATTTTACTAGCCAGAGATCACTTAGAAAGCGACTCCGACGATCTAGACCCTCGGGAGCTTCCGGGGCGTAGGCGGCCCCTGGACCCTCGCCTAAAGTTCTAGGACGGTAGTCCCCCCCCCCCACCAATGAAGAATTGCTTCCGTCGGCCCTGTATCAGGCAACCATGTTGCCACGTGCACAGTGATACAAACATACATCAGGATGAACTATAAATAGTAACATACCAAGGTATCGGGGTATTCACTGTAACCAAATAGATTTAAAGTGACTTTAGCCAATACTGTGACAGTGCTAACTTCTTATTTATTTGGAGTGTTCACACAGTTAACAACCTTTGTAGCAATTTTCGTCGCTGGTCAGATGTGGAAAGTGAGAGCGACCAGAAAACTCACCACATCTAGATTGTCTTTGACGTATATTTTGTAATTCTTTTCTTAGGACCACTTTTCACGTTGTGTATATTTTTTCAATTTACCCAGTTTATGGTTTCACATAGGAACAACTGTTCGTTTCTACATTTTATCTGGAAGCAGATTACACAATAATCTACATTACAATACTTAAAATTAACACGTCTTTCTCTCCATCCAACCAACCCGAGCTTACTGACGACAAGGTCTAAAATAACGTGCTTTGGAGCACGAACGTTCAACATCACAGAAAATCACCATCGTATGTAGTGCTTTCATAGTAAGGGATTAAAAAACCCCATAAAAACTTCTGTGATGGGTAATTTTACTAGCCAGAGATCACCTAGCGTCTCCGACGATGTTGACCAAGAAATTTTACACAAAAGCATAGGTTATACCTGGCGGGAGTTTTGTTCTCTGTTGGGATATTATGTGACATTTTAATTCATTAAAATAAGACGTTTGAAAACTATGTTTTGATTGTTATAAAATAGGGATAAAAAGTAGAAAGAAGCCGATTTATCATGTATATGTAATAATAAATAAATCACAGTCGACAAGTGTCGTCAATTTGAAGTGGTTTATAAATATTTATCCTAAAATAAAAGTATGTTATCGACCCTAAGCTATTATCCTTTCAATAGTATACATGACTAGTAAACAATTTTCATTTCTTAATTAAACGAAAATACAAATTAAAAGTTTTTATATTGATAAATTTATAAAGTTTTCAATAACAAATGTAAGTTAGGTAACCACTTGGCATCGAGTATGTTTGGTACATTACACATTGATTTCGAACCAGTAAAGTGATGTAATAATATTAATAGCACCTAGATAACCAAAACTTAACATGGGTTAATAATGATCAATTTGAAATAATATAAGTTGGACTAAATGACTTTGGTAACATTAGTTTGAATTGTGTGTATATGCAGATAAAGAAGGTCTGCTATCTATGCAAGTCACCGGATTGACATATTTATGCCTTTAGTTTTAACGGATCAC